CTGAGTTCAATAACCCGCCAGGGACCTGACCCACATGGAGCAGAAGACCTCTCCTGTGCCTGCCTGCAGCTCCCCTCCACCGTGTATTTCAGTCAATCTGCCTGTTCTGCTTCCCACTCAGTCTCTGGTGAATCCTCTCACCCTCTGCACCTCTGGCCTGTACCCCAGTTTTTGTATGCATACATGAATAAATCTTTTTAAAAAGTCAAAACACAATGAGATCTCACCATACTTCCCATGAGTATGGCCTATATCAAAAAGAATGAAAACAGTAAGTGTTGGAGATGTGGACAAAATTTACATTCATTCACTTTTGGGGGTTGGTAGAGATGATTGTGGAAAAGAAGGTACAAACAGGGCTCTCCTGGTGGCTCAGTGGGTTAAAGAACCGCATTATGAAGCTCTCCAAAGCCACTGCAGCACAAGTTTGATCCCCCGCCAAAGAGCTGACTCACATGGCGCGGCAGACCTCTCCTGTCTCACCTGCTGCTCCCCTCAGCAGTGTACTTTGTCAGGCTGCCTGTTCTGCTCCCAACTCTGTCTCTGGTGAATCCTCCCACCCACCACACCTCTGGCCTGTATCCCAGTTCTGTAAGCATAAATAAATAAATCTTTTTTTTTTTTTTAAAGAAGGTACAAATATGTTATTTTGTGCAGTCTTTGTGGAAAATGGTTTGGGTGTCCCTCAAAAAAGAAAAAGAGGAAATACTTTATAATCTAACAAAAACACTTCTAGATATTTACTCAGAGAACACAAAAACATTAATACCAAAAGATTTATATACTCCCAATTTTGTAGCAGCATGATTCAAAATAGTCAAGTCATGGAATGAACGTTCTATTCCTAGACAGATGACTGAATAAAGATATTGTGGAATATATACTCGATGGAAAACTACTCAACTATTTTTAAAAAATATATATTTATGCATGCAGAACTGGGGTACAGACCAGAGGTGCCGGGGTGGTGAGAGGATTCACCAGAGACAGAGTGGAGAGCAGAACAGGCAGATGGACCAAGTACACTGCTGAGGGGAGCAGTGTGTGTGTCAGGAAAAGTCTGCGGCACCCTGTGGATCACTTCCAAGGCAGGATGGAACTCATGCTGAAGTAGCTTTAAGCTTCTTAGTGCTGTGTTTTAACCCACTACACTACCAGGGAGGGCCTAGTGCCAGTTTTTAATACTTATTTTGGAATCCTCTAGACACCTGTGTTTTGTTTTAATAGTTTTGTCTTTGTTTTCTAACCTGGACTGACAGGAATATTCATATTTACATTATGTGATCATGTTTGATCACCTTCTTGAAACTAAAAGAACTATTTTTAAGAAAAAATCAATACTATCATTGCTCAATATGAGGTATTTCAGTATTTATAACAGTAGATATGATCAATCAATTCTAAAAATTGTTTTCTTAGTTTTTTGACTTGATGAAATTCTCAAGGTCAAAGTCTATGAAAAGTATTTTGGAGAAGTCTCTTTTGGTTAAAAAGTATATCTGGTCTGTGCAAATATTTTCCTATTGTGAGAAACTAAAAATCACATTGAAGTGTTATACAAAATTATTTTCCTCTAGATTTGTCTTTGTAAGAGGATTTTTTGGAAACCAAGTTTGAGTTTGCTGCCAAATACAATATTGAGAAATTTATTTGGAGATTTTTTTATGGTAAAATAATCTGTCAATCTCAAAATAACTAATCAGTCATTTTTATTTTTACTCCATTTACCTTTATTTGTAGAACTACATAATCTATACTCATTTTTTTTAAAGATTTACTTATTTATGCTTACAGAACTGGGGTATAGGCCAGAGATGTGGTGGGTGAGAGGATTCACCAGAGAAAAAGTGGGGAGCAGAACAGGCAGATTGATAAATTCACTGCTGAGGGAGCAATGGGCAGGCTAGAAGAGATCTGCCACGCCATGTGGGTCAGCTCCCTGGCTAGGGATCGAACTCGTGCTGCAAGTGGTTTCATAGAACTTCCTAATGTGGTGCTTTAACCCATTGCACCACCAGGGAGAGCCCTTAATCTATACTCTTAATAGAAGATAAATCATTTAAAAGGACTTTTGTCTCCTATTCTTTTAATCAGAAGATTTTATCTAGCTAGGCAGCTATTGAGCAGCTTCCAATATTCTTAGTGATAGTGTTTTCAAAGTGAAAACACATCTTGCTTTTTAAATTCAGATTTTTAGTTATCTTGAAATTTAAAAATACATCTAAAATGATTTAACACCTCAAGTATAGATCTTTATCAGAGGAGACTTATGTTTTCAACAGTTGGAAAGACTACTGCAATAATATGGTAAGTATTGTGAGGTGGGTTTTATAATTCTCAGTGTTAGTTTATACTCAATGTGTGGGCTGCTGACTATGTCTGTGGCAGAACAAAGACTTCAAAATGTGACCCACACACTTCAGTTTCCTAGTTGCATTAAAATGGAGCCAAACAAGTAGATCTTTCATGACCTCAACTCTGCTCACCTCAGCCTACTTCACACATTCCTGGCATGGTTTTCATTCTCTTGTGGCAGAGAACATGTGGAGTTGCCAGGTTACTGTTGATGAAGAGTAATTTTTAGAAGCAGAAATTCAGTGTCCTGGTTCTGAATGATACATCTTGCACTCTGGGGCATGAGATAACAATAACTATTGATTGATGTTTAATCTGTCTTATCTTGGTTGATCAATAATTTGCATGTCCATGATGAAGAGATCACTTTTTTTCTGTCTTTCAAGGATGGAAATTTCCCTCCCCTGACTCATAAGTATGTGGTACAATCATTTGGAATTAAATCACAAGCTTATTAAGTGAAATGAGAGTTGAAATTTCAGCTTTCCACATCAATTTATTAAAATATTAAATTGGGCTTATTCCCTAAAGTCTGTTTTGGAATATGAGAAACAATACTAAAAAATATTGGGGCTATATTTTCAGTTCTCTGTTCAGAGAACTGTTCAGTAGATCTAAGAGTTATAATCTATAGTTTTCGGAGTCATTCTTCCAAGGATTTATTTATGGGGTTATAAGAATTTTTACATACTTCAAGTTTCCTCAGATGTAAAACCAGAGAAATATCTCACAGAGTTGCTAAGTGTTGTAGAACGTGCAGCATCCTGGCCCTTCCTGGTGGCTCAACAGGTTAGGAAACAGCACTGCAAGTTAGCCCCAGTGGCTTCCAAGAGAGTTTCATCCCTGGCCCAGAGGTGATTTACATGGTGCAGCAGACCTCTCCTGACTTTTCTGCTGCTCCCCTCAGCAGTGTGTATACTTCATCTATCTGCCAGTTCTGCTCTCCACTCTGTGTCTGGTGAGTCCTCTCACCACTCCTGTACCTCCAGCCTGTACCCCAGCTCTATATGCATAAGTAATACATCTTTAAAAAAAAAAAAGTGAAACATCCATCTGTATATCATCTATATGTTTAGTGTAGTAGGTCTTTAGGAGATATTAGCTATGCACTGTTTTATTTAAAAGATACTTTCACTTAGCTCAATGTTCAAAAGATAGTTATAATTTTAATCTTCACTTTTGTCATAATTTCCCCTCCTTGAAGTTAACTGATGTGTGAAAAAGCAACTGTTTCATGTGCTTATTGCTACAGATATTTTGTATAGCTGAAAGAAAAAAAAACTTCATTTTACTCGAATGAAATGTTACTCCATGTTTTCCTTTTATAATAAAGTGAATAAGAAATTGTTAAATCAGTGAAATTTATTTTAAAACAATTGTGACCAAATTAATGTAGGCATAGTTGTGTGTGTATCAGAGGAGCTACTTAGCTGTTCGGCACTTGTGTTCTGATAATCAATGGCAATCCTTTACTGGGCATTCATTTGTTAATTTATTCATTCAACAAATAGTTATTGAAGACCTACCATAAATCAGGCTAGGATCTGACAATAAAGAACAGTCTCTTCTTTTACAGTTGAGCTATAGACGACCAGGCATTTGCTTCATCCTCTGCTGAGGACTGCTTCCACGAGGGTACTTCCCTAGGAGGGTAACTGTCAGGCTCGGGCTCGCTCCGTCGTCAAGATCCCTGTTGTGTATTGGGGTCCCGGACGTAAGTATGAGGCGTCAGGAGTCTGGAATGACCAGAAACCTCCAGTAAGTTCGGGGCTCATGCAGGCGCCTGGATATAAAGGCAGCACAGGAGTAGGGGGCAAACCAACTGGCAGGCGTGGAGTGAAGGCGGGTTTCCTCGGGGCGACTTTGGGCATTTGACCCTGGATGCTAAATGATGAGCGCCAACACACGTATTGCCTCAGTACCGAGAGCAGTACACTGGGGTCTCCATACTACTTCCTTAACTACCCCACTTCATAAGGGAGGGAAACTGAGGCCCCGGGGAGGTGACGCAGGGGCGCGGACAGCGAGTCCAACAGTTGCAGGAGGAAGCCAACTGAGACACTAGGCACCCTTCGGGGTCTACTAGGAATTCATGAGAACAAGCAGGTCCCGGTAAGAGAGTGAGTGGCGGGAGCCGGGGGCGAGTCAGGCAGCCTGGGTGTCAGACCTTTAAACTCCCGGCGCGCGGGAACCGCAACCCAACAGCTACAGGCTGGAGGAGTGGGTGGACACGCGACACTGCGGACCAACGACCGCCCTCGGCCCCGCCCCTTCACGAGGCTCCTCCAATCAGCAATGCCGCTGCCTTTCTTCCTCCCCGCCCCTTCCCGGCACTCCTCCCTTCCTACAGTCGGCGCCCAGAGACCGCAGGGGAGGGTTTCTTGGCGGGTGTGTCTGGCGGGTGGCCAAGTACAGCGCTTCCCGGGAGTTTCGAACGCAGTTGGCTCTCCCCACAGAAAAAAATATAAGCGTGATGGCCAATAGTGTGGCAGAAAGGACCCGCGCGCAGACTCAGCTCCGCCTCACTCCGCTAGAATGAAGTTCAGGGCAGGCCATTGGCTCGCGCGACCTGTCACTCGCCGTCGCGGCCAGCGGGCAGGAGCCTCGAGTTGATTGGTTCCGCCCAGGCGCGAAATGTAACGCGGGAAAAGTCGGAGCAGAGACCTTAGCGGCAGGTTGTTATTTTGGGGGCTCGGCGCCGCGCGTCCAGCTTCCCTGTCACCGCGAGGCAGTCCGCCCTCTGGTTGCCGCCGCTGCACCCTGTGTTGGGAAGCACAAAGAGCGGAGGGCGGGCTAGACCCAGGGTTGGGGTCCGGCCCTGGCCTCCCGGTGCCGGCCGAACCGTTCCGCTCAGCTCCTTCGCTGGCCGCGGCGCAGGAGGATTCCGGGAAACGTCCGCCTGCCATGAGCCGGCGGAACTGAGAGCCGGCGACAGGGAGCAGCGCGGTCGTGCGGAGCGAAGGGTCAGACCGGGCTCTGGGGGTGCGGCCCGCAGCCGCGGGAGTTGAGGATCGGGACCGGGCGATGATCCGGGGCGTAGAGGCGCAGATGGCGGACAACCCGCCGCAGCCGCCGCCGGTCATCTTCTGCCACGACTCCCCGAAGCGGGTGCTGGTGTCGGTCATTAGGACGACCCCGATCAAGCCCACGTGTGGCGGCGCAGGGGAGCCGGAGCCGCCGCCGCCGCTCATCCCCACCAGCCCCGGCTTCAGCGACTTCATGGTGTACCCGTGGCGCTGGGGCGAGAATGCGCACAATGTGACGCTCAGCCCGGGGGCTGCGGGGGGCGCCGCCTCAGCCACCTTGCCCGCCGCCACCGCCGCGGAGCACCCGGGGCTTAGGGCTCGGGGCGCGCCCCCGCCCGCCGCTTCTGTAGCCGCCGCTTCGGGAGGTGAGGATGAGGAGGAAGCGAGCAGCCCGGACAGCGGCCACCTGAAGGTGAGCGGGCGGGGCGCGGGGCAGCTGGGCCCGTTAACGGCGCAGCCCGGGAGCCGGCAGCGCCCGCGGACTAGGCGGGCTGGGCGGGGCCGAGTTTGAAACCGCGAGGTTGCTGGGCTGGGGAGGGTGACAGGACGCCGACGTCACTGCTGCGCGCCAAAAAGCGCCCCCTCCCCCTCGGGGGCAGGGCGGTGCGGCGGTCGGATGACGCCGGCTGGTTGTCTACGCTGCTGACCCGGGACGTCCGCCCTGCAGGTGCGGTGGGCGGGAGCGCAGCCGGGTGGAGAGGAGGTGGGGCCCATGGGACTTGCTGAGGCTTGGTACAGGCGGCTGTCTTCCGGCGGGAGAGAGTGGAAAGGAGCCGCGGGCCGTGAGCGGTTCTCTAGGTGCTGGAAGGGGGCAGCTGTGCAGGTTTTGCTCCCTCACTTCAGGTAGCCTTGTCGGGCAAAGATAGCTGGCGAGCTACCTGGAAGGGACTTCGGGAGCTTTTCCCCAACGGTAATTGGGCCCTCCAGGTCTTTTATCCCGCGTAGGACTTTGTTAGGTACTCAGCACAGGGTAACGCTATCACTAACCTCGAATTACTCGCATTCTCTGTTTAGACCCGGGATGGATGTTACTACGCGGTTCACAGTTACGTTTTACACTTCAGGCAACTGAGACAGAAAAGGATGGTTAAAGGACCATCCAAGGTCATTGCCATGTACTGGGAGAGCTGGGACTGTAGTCGTTTCTGTGGCTTCTAGTCCCGAAACATGTGTTGGGATGCATGTCTAAAGATAGTTATTTATCTCTAGTTTCTAAGCCCCAGGAGGAATCAGGACTTTTTTCCCTCTGGTACACTACCCTACTTCAATGTAAATGCTGAATAAAGATTCTCAGTAAATATTTGTGCAGTGAATGAAAGGTGCTAATGTAAAGTTCTCTTCAGCTTTTTTAAGTGGCTTTATTAGACAAGAGGCTTACTAAAGATAAAATATGTAAATCACCTAGTGGATGCGTGCATCCGTTCTGGCAAAATACTGTATTTGTAAATTGAAACAAGTTTGGTCAAGTTCCATGCAGTAGCAAAGATGTTGAAACTCCTCATTTGAGCTGAGTAAATCGATACATTTTATGTTACTAATAGATATTAAAGAACCAAAAAGTTTTAAAACTACTTTGACACTTCAGCTGTTGAAGCAGCACCTCACTACAAATTTGAAATAACAAGCAGTACAAATACTCATAATGTTGCTCAGTGAATTTTGAAGGGAACAGCCGCTGTTCATTATCTCTAGGTTGCATTTAGTAAGATCACTGGGTAGCTTAGATATTCAGCATTACTAAGTGAATTGATTTTGACTTTTCATCAACTCAGCAATTTAACTATAGCTCCCCCAAATGCATTCAGTTAGCTTCCCCATCTTTGGGGGGGGGGGGAAGTCTGGAATATACCTTTAAGGAAGTCTAACTAGTTTGATTTGTCAGTGCACTCTGACTAAGGTTAGGGAGATGGGTCTTCATTTGTTTTGATTCTAAAGTACTTGATGCTATGTATATCGTAGTTCTTTATCTACAAATGCATTGTGGGTGATTCATGCTAAGTCTGCTCATTTTTAGTAATATAGCCGGTGCCAGTAACAGGATCCCACCCCTGCCGGGACTATACAGGTCAGAGGGATAACAGCTGTTCGTTTAAGAATATTAGTGTTCATTTACGGTCTATTTACTGACACTGTTCCCAGAGGAAGTATTGTCATCTAAGTCCTCATACCCACTGTTCTGTCCAATACTGCCTCCTCTGCCTGTGGGGAGAATTTCCATCAGATAACAACTTACTTGGTCCTTCACCACAAGATTGCTTAGGTCTATAGAGCTATAATTATATATTAGCTTGTGGAATTCTTAAGGGGAGGGAGAAGTTCTAATTTGCCTCTGCTGTAGGATATTCCTAACCTTCCCACTTTATGTCCTTGTGCCCTCTGTATTCTTGACTCTGCATTTATTAAGTTGATTTTGCACTGTGGGATGAAACTGTGTGTTCTGGCTTCTCTGTGCATAGCCTCAGATAGCCATTTTACGCTTCAGGATCTGGTTCCTGCTTACCCTGCTTCCCATTTTTATTACTTGAATACTTGAAGCATCTAAGTTGTACATAATTTTCTAAAACCTAATTTGGCTACCACATAATGTTAACACATTGTTTATTTTGCCAGACTTACTTTGAATGGTGGGAATTCTTTAATAAATTTCCTGATAAAGGAGGAATTAGGGAGAAAATTCCCCAACATGATATTACTCCTGTGTATATCATGTGTGAATTGATTTTAGGAGTGTATTTTTACTTTGTAAATGTTAACATGTAAGTAGACTTACAATATTCACATTATACCTACCTGCTTTTGAATTGAGATGCTTTATAAGAGCACATATAGTACACTAAATTCAGAGTAAGACACGGAAAGTTCTGCAGATAGTCAACGTAGGGGATACACATAGAAAGCATGTGAATCATAGAAATTTTGGATCCAAACCTGAATTGTGGGTAAAAGACACATAACATAAAAATTACGACCTTAACTATTCTTCAATGTTAAGTGTGTGCACATTGCAATCTACATTTTAGAATCTTTTGCTCCTGGTAAAATTGAAATTCTGCCCAATACTTTGATTATCTAGTCATCTATTGGTGGACATTTAGATTACTTCTGCTTCTTGGCTATTGTGGAAATAGATTTTAATTTAAAACAAATTTTTTTAAAGATTTATTTATTTATTCGTACAGAACTGGGGTATAGGCCAGAGATGCGGAGGGTGAGAGGATTCACCAGAGACAGAATGGGGTACAGAACAGGCGGATTGACAAAGTACACTGCTGAGGGGAGCAGCGGGCGGGTCAGGAGAGGTGTGCCTGTGTGGATCTCCTCGGGGGCAGGCAGGGATTGAACTCATGCTGAAGTGGCTTAAGCTTCTTTGTGCTGTGCTTTAACCCACTGCGCCACCAGGGAGGGTCCTAAAACAATTTATAAAACCTGATTTATCCTGTAAGGTAACTAACTCATCCATGTTGAACTTTCTTTCAAAGTGGAAATTTATTAAAGGGAATTTGCTTTGGCTTATATTCATAAAATTCCAGCTTGCTTTTTAAGCTTTTGGAAGGCTTTAGATTTTTGTATTGAAAGCAATAACTTTGAGAAGTTTGTAATCATTATTTCTTCAGATATTCTTCTTGCCTTCTGGGTCTCTGATTGCCTGTTGTTGGTGTTTGTATGCTTGATGCTATGGTCTAAATGTTTGTATGCCCCAAAATTCATGTGCTGAGATCTTGACTTCAGGTGATGATGTTAGGAGCTGGGGAGGTGCTTAGGCCATGTGAATGGAATGCCTGTGAGTCAGATAGTGCCTACACTTATGAAGGAGGTTCTGCAGAGATTCCTCGCCCTTGTCATTTGAGGGCATAGCAGGAAGGTGCCAGCTATGATGCTGGAAGAGGGTCTCCGACACCTGCCCATGCTGGAACCTTGTTCTTGAATTTTCCAGCTACCAGAAGTATAAGAAATACATTTCTGTTTGTAACTACTTACCCAGACTGTGATATTTTGTTGTGGCAGCTCTTCAGGTAGCCATAGGTAGGTCAAAATACACAAATAAAACTCTTTAAGCATAAGGTTTTCTCTTTAAGCCAGGGACTAAGTTCCCACACTGACAATGCTTTCTTCAAGATCACTACAAGGCAGGAGGGCAAGTAAATCATTCCTGCTGCTTTGAGTTTCCTTTCTCTTGATTCACTGTTGCTACATTCACTGTTGCTACAAATCTCTATTTTCTGGATTTGTGACAAAGCTGATCCTCAAAGTTTCTCTGTGGAAGTATGGGCCTTTGGAGTTACCTGCTTTGCCATTTTTGCTTATGTCACTCAAGAAAGACTTAAAAATATTTTTATTATGAATTTTGGCATTATAAGTAGAGTCCAAAGCAATATGTTAATGTTTATACATTGTTAACAGGATGGGATCCGTCGAGGTAGACCCAGAGCAGACACTGTCCGGGATTTAATAAATGAAGGAGAGCACTCATCTAGCAGAATTCGTTGTAACATCTGTAATAGGGTATTTCCACGAGAGAAATCACTCCAGGCCCACAAAAGGACTCATACAGGTAAGTTAAGCAAATTTTAGAGAATGCCAAAAATAATCCTTAATTGAAAGATGATTTGATATTTGGGCCCATAAATATATATTTATTTTTGGCCTTATATTTGCCATGTGTCCTTATTAAGGTTTCTTTCTTTCTTTTTTATAGGTACTGTGTAGTCAATTTCTTTTTTGGTGGGTAGGGATGGTTTTCTAAACACAGCTACCATGTGACTTGTAAAGTTATCATGGTAATTAATCTAGTTGTTACAAAAGTATTGTTAAATTTAATTCTGCCTTCTGTCCACCTGAATTTTACTTGTTCAGTAAATTGTGTAATTGCTAAAAATGATTGTAGAACAAATAATAAAATAGTAATCATCATGTTTTAATAGAGTCCTCAGTGTACCAGAGTGTTTGACTCTTGTTAAATTTATAGTGAGGTATAATTTTTAAGAATCAAATATATTGTAGGTAGTTACAGTAAAAATCCTACAAAGGCCCTCCCTGGTGGCGCAGCGGGTTAAAGCACTGCACTGAGAAGCTAAAGCCACTTCCGCATGAGTTCGATTCCCGCCTGCCCCGGAGGCGACCACATGGTGTGGCAGACCTCTCCTGACCCGCCCGCTGCTCCCCTCAGCAGTGTACTTCCTCGATCTGCCTGTTCTGCTCCCCACTCTGTCTCTGGTGAAGCCTCTCGCCCTCCGCATCTCTGGCCTGTACCCCAGTTCTGTACGAATAAATAAATCTTTAAAAAAAAAAATCCTACAAATATAGTTAATAATTTCCAAGATTATCTGTGTTTATTCATACAGAGTTGAATTTTAAATACCACATAGCTAAAAAGTAACTTATAGTGCATCTTTGTTCTTTCCATAGAGAAAATTGGCCCCAGGAAACAACCATTATATTCTTTAAGTTTTTGGAAAAAATGCATACAGTTTTCTTAACTAAATCTCTGAAAAAGTTCAAGTTTTATTTTGGAGCCCTATAGAACTAAGGTGACCAAGAGGTTTTGAATTTTGGGTGACATTCAGTAAAACTATGATTTGATGAAGTAGCTGATTTTGAAATTTTTTAATTTTTTCAATCTAATTAAACTCAAAATACATCCAAATAACTGGTTTGCATACCACAAAGTATGTGTTGCTAGTGTAAAGGTTGAAGATGTGGCTTAATGAAAAGCTCCCTGAGCTCCCAGTCCTGAACTACTAGGTGTCACAGGGTACAATTTGTCTTTGGCCTATGGTGCTGTATCCAGGGACTGAGAGACCAAGATTGCCATGGTATAGTTAAGTTCTAATTGTAAATGCTTTGTAAAGAGTTTTCCTTTTACTGTTTTAAATATCTCCTCCCATATCCTGTGTCATTAACTTCTGTCCAAACATCATAGTCATTTCTAAATCATGAGAAAATTCAGGGAGAACTTGTTACTATCCTTTAGTTATATTGGAAACAACAGTGCATAATTATTGAATGAAGAGTATTTTATTAAGAAATACTAAATTTGGACCCTCCCTGGTGGCGCAGTGGGTTAAAGCGCAGCACTAAAAAGCTAAAACTGTTATAGGACACCCCAATTCTGTTAGAGAACAAAACCTGTTATAGGACAAAATCTGTTACATGACAGGGGGAGAGAGGGGCACTCCTGAAGCCCCCAAATCCTGCCTGCTCTAAATGGGTTCTGCCATCCGCCGCAACAAGCCAAAATATATAAAACTTCAATGAAAAGGGACTTTAATACAGTAAATATACTATACGGAACACAAAGAATATAACTTCTAAATCAAACACCTGAAGTTACCCATCCCCTCGTGGGCAAAAGTCAACCCAAAAGGGATTGGCCCAAAGCAAGGCCTGAAAGCCTGCCTCTAGACTAAAGCACCTTCTGGCCCAGGACCCATGGAAAAGGGTCAGAAATGACCAGACAAATCTGGGAGCAAAAGAGCAAAATCAAAATCAATATAAACACTGCCATAGTCACCTCCCTACAGGTATCTCACCCATCTCACCCACATCTGCCTTTAACCAGTCCAGGGTCAGGAAACAAACCCAGTTTTTTCATCACATGCTTGCTGCTCCATGTGGCTTCCTTAAGTCTCTGTCTTGTTCTCATCCTGCTTCATTCTCTTCTCTCCTTTTTTTTCTGCTCAGCTCCACCCTCCTTCTGGGTGGGGCAGGGAACCTGGAACTTCCCTTTTTCCTAGGAACCACCCTGTTACAATACCACTTCAGCATGAGTTTGATCCCTGCCTGCTGGGGAGGTGATCCACATGGTGTTGCAGACCTCTCCTGACCCACCCGCTGCTCCCTCAGCAATGTACTTCGTCAGTCAGTCTGTTCTGCTTCCAACTCTGTCTCTGGTGAATCTTCTCACTGCCCCTGTGTCTCTGGTCTGTACCCCAGCTCTGTATACATAAATAAACACCAAGTTTAATTATGATTGCACAACATTTTTGAGCACTTTCTTGAGCCTAGCACTATGTAGTACTTAACGGGAATAGGCAGTAGAAACATTGTAAGAGTAAATACAGCTTTTAGAGTGGGCTTTTACTGTCTTGAAATTGAAATGGGGTAGAAGGCATCGTAAATGTTTACCTGAAAGCACCGTGTTACACAGATGACATTGTGGAGGTGTAGGCACAGTGCTCAATTACTTGGAGGTGTGGGAAACAGGAGGATTTGCGCTGAGAGCCTGAGAGATTGGAAAGATTTAAATGAGCAGAGAAGATAGTACTTTTAAGGAGCAGTATAAGATGAGGAACTGCTTTATGATTGGAATGAATTGCCTGGAGAGAAATGAAGATAAAATCTGTCCTCAGCCCAGTCACTGTAGTGCAGATATTAGGTGATCCTTAAAAGGTCAGCAGATAATTTTAGTTGTTTCAGGAGCATACTAGGGTTTGGGATGACTTAACTGGTATTTGGTATGACAAAAGCAATAGTTATGTGCGCTAGCTACTGTGGAAACGCTGTGGGGGGGGTGGGGAAGACTGGAGATAATCAGGATGCTGTTGGAGGGTTTGCTCTCTGCGGGAGGGGTTGCCAATCTGATACAGGGAGCTGCTATGGGAAAGCAGAAATGGGAGACCTTTTAATGAGAGCTAGTGATTTAGATTATGGGGATAAAAAAATAGAGAATTAAGTTAAGGATTTTTACTCAAGGATTTGAACCTAACAGCCAATATTATTGTGATAAGTGACAGCTGCTTGCTTGCTATCATTGACATTCTGTCATTAGCATTTCCCCTTGCTGCTGGCTGTCGCAGCTGTGCAGTTGTTTGGAGTCAAGACCTATTTGCAGGTTAAGTCACTTCTCCCACCCCTTCCTCTGCTCACTTATTATCTCAGAAATAATATATTCATTCATTACATCTGTCTACTTAGGTGAGAGGCCCTATCTGTGTGACTACCCCGACTGTGGAAAAGCCTTTGTTCAAAGTGGACAGCTCAAAACACATCAGCGTCTTCACACCGGAGAGAAGCCTTTTGTTTGTTCAGAAAATGGTATGGTGTTCGGGGTTAAGTTTCTCGACTAACTGTTGGGAGTTAGAAGTTAGCTTATCTATAGCTTGAATTTGGGGGAAGGAGAGCTTAATTTTATGAAATACAATAAGGTTTATTTCTTGCTAGTTGTGACCTAAATTTAATTTCTCGGAAGTGGTCATTTTTTAAAAGAAGTTATGCTTTTTAGATGAAAATCTTAAAGGGCTATTAAAATGCTATATTGAGATATAGGCAGTAGGAAACTGTGAGTAAATATGGCTTTTGGAGTAGGCTTTTACTTTGTTTTAAAATTTTTAAACAATTAACTTGAAGGAAGTATTTAATTACAATAAAAAGAGGTAGAATTTTAGCACTACCACTCACTAAATGAATTACTTAATTCCTTACCACTTATCTTAAGTGCTTTTCTTAATCTGGTAACAGTTTCTTAAAATGTCTTGCGCACATTTTTACAGTAATATATGAAATTCAGTGCAGTTTTATTGTTGCTCTGTGGCTGTCTTGACTATTGTCAGCTGTTACAAATGTAACATCTAACAAATTTGGTTAAGCATCTGCAAAAGGGTGGCCTCACAGTTGAATATTGAATAATTTGTTGTTAAAATTTGCTTGTTAATCAACAGTGATGAGGGGCAATGTTTCCTAGGTAGGGCTTTTTTTTTTTTTTTAACATTTTAAAATAACATGCTTATTAGGAAAAGAAGAAAGGCAAAAAAGAGAGACACCTGCATAGTCATAGTGGGGTAGCAGGGAGTTCTGACCTTGGGATATTTCTTGACGATGGAATTCCTGAATCAGATTTTGAATATTTTTATGACTCTTACTAATATGACACTTTCCAGTGGGATTGAATGTGTTTACATTTCGATGACCACAAGGGTTAAAGAACCATCTTTTAATCGCTCTTACTAGCATTGACCATACCGTTGTAGGCTTTTTTCCCTCCTCCAAGTTAATAGGATATTAAGTCTTATTGTTTGAATTTACTTTTCTTGGATGCCACTGAAACTGAATGTTGCCCAAGTCTGCTGGATGTCCAGATTCTGATAATAGTACCTCTGTTTTGAAGGCTGCCTGAGCAGATTTACCCATGCCAACCGCCACTGCCCGAAGCACCCGTATGCCAGACTGAAGCGGGAGGAGCCCACAGATGCTCTCAGTAAGCACCAGGCTGCAGACAACCAGGCTGCTGCAGAGTGGCTGGCAAAGTAAGGCTGTCCCTGGACTCCCTTGCAGAATGCTACCCGGTGTGTGGGTTGATGTTGGGGACTTTGGCAGTTCTCACTTTAAATGAGTTGCTTGTATAAATACTATAAACTAACTTGAAGGTATACTTTATTTCCTTAACCCACAGGATGGTTAGGAGTAGTATTAAGATTTGTGTATAATAAGAAACTACTATATTAGTCTGAGTGCTCAGTAATACTTTTTTGTAGAGCAAGAATTTTTCCCATTTTTAAAATTTCCCATTAATTTGTCATTAATCCAGCCCTTCTTCATTCTCTTTAGAGTTAATTATGTGCTAATGTTACAAGGGACAGAGGCTGAGATTATTTTAAAATAAAGTGACAAAAGGCACCCAGTTCAATAGGAAATATTTTTTTAATGGCAAGTACAAATAATTTCTCTAAGACTATTTTGATTTAAGGATTCATCTCGTCTGTGAACTAGTAGCAGTCAGTCACGCCATTCCCTACTTCATGGGCTTCTTCTGCACTTAGGATAAATTCTCGAATGCCTAATGTCACTGCTGTATCTCTGCTATCTGATAATGCACATGTACTATCACCTGAGTTTCTTGCCTCTCCGCACCACTAGCACTGTGTCTCCTAGCCTTTGTGCTCATTGCTCCCTCTTTGAGCTTCCCTCTTCATTTAGCTATACTGCTCATTTCTTCATTTCTCACTTAGGTTAAACATCATTTCAGAAAGCTCTTCCTTAAGCTGCTCAGCGTCCCCCAAAATAAACAAGGTTAGACCCGCTTTATAGATACTCTTCAAACACTATTTTCTCTTTTAAAGCCACTGCCACATACTTCAAAGTCTGTCTTCTCTGCTGTACTATAAGCTACAAGGTGGGGTTTATGTTTATCTTAGTCACTACATTACTTCCTCTCTCCTTGTTCCCTACTGCTCCCTTCTTTCTAATTTTGCCCAAGCTAGAAACCTTTCCGTCATTGTGTCTTTATCACTTCTTATCTGCTCAGTTAACAACTTGAATTCTGTCTCCTTGTGAACTCTCAAATTCAGCCACTTGCGCCCCCTCTCAACTCATTTTTCACCTGCTGCCTGAGGAATCTTTCCAAAATGCCAATATCATCCTCTGCATTCAGTTGAAACCTTTAGCTTTGGCATTCAAAGCCCTTCATTGCTTCATTGCTTGCTGATCTTGTTAAACTTATCTTTTGCCATTTTCCTTTTATAGTTTTTCTAGTTGTTCTTTAAGTAATATTCAACTACTTGCATTTTTTTAGCCTCTTTATATTGCCAGAGTTTATCCTCTTTGAGTAACCTGGAGTTCCTGAAACCTAGTAGTTATATATACTTTTTGTATGTAATTTTAAAAACAACTTTACTGAGGAATAATTGATAACAAAAGGCTGTATGTATTTAAAATGTATATTTTGATAGATTTTGACATGTGTATACCTATGAAACCATCACCAAATGAAGCTAGTGAACATATCTATCATAGAAGCTGAATAAGGACTCACTGCTTGATGCACATAGAAACCAATGATTTTGGCACTGACTTTTGGGGGAAGAAAAGTTAATTGTATTGTGTGGTCCAGCAGCAAAGAGATAGGAGGCAAGGCTAAAATCTGCCTCCTTGATTATGGAGACTAGGAATGGTTTTATAAAAACATGAAGAGGGGGAGGAGGAAGCTAGGAATGTAAAGGTTATAACCTTGGCAAAGTCTGACTGGATAGTTAAAAATCAGTACATATGGAAAGGGTTCTGGATTCTTGGGATTTTTGTTGATAGAATCCTTCTAATTATGAAAGTAGTTACTTTTTTCTGTTTTATTGTGTGGGGACAGGTTCTTAGTTCTGGCTGCCTTGGAATTTGGCTTAAGGTCAGTTTCTTCTGCACATTCTTGGATTATATCATTCACATAGAAGCATCTTGATGCTTGAAAGATAGTTAAACACAAATAATTATTCAGGGAGATAGCTTACTCTTTTTCCATTGTAATTATCACTCCCACCCTACTCTATCCCCTCTCCCTCCCCAAACAACAACATGATCTGCTTCTGTGGATATAAACTAATATGCTTTTGATAGAGCTTTATACAAATGACATCATACAGCACATAGTTTGGTTGTGTGACTTTTGTTTAAGATAATTATTTTGAGAGTCATCCATGCTATTGAAAGTATATCAGCAGTATTTTATTGATGAGTAATGATCCATTGTGTGGATACATCTCAACTTGTTATTTGTTCATCTGTTGATAGGCAGTTGGGTTATTTTTGGCTTTTACAAATAAAGCTGTAGTGAATACTAATATATGAACCCTTTGTATGGACATTTTGGTATATGATGCTACTGTAATTTATGTAGGCATTTCTTTAGTTAAAAAATATGGTGGCACATTTGCATTTCCTCTTGTGAGTTATCTGTTGGATATAGAATTGTGGCACCCTTAATTTTTTTTTAAAGATTAATTTATTTATGTATGTAGAACTGGGGTACAGGCCAGAGGTTCAGGGGTGGTAAGAGGATTCACTCACCAGAGACAGAATGGGGTACAGAACAGGCAGATTGACAGTACACTGCTGGGGGGAGCAGCGGGCGGGTCAGGAGAGGTCTGCTACACCATGTGGGTCACTTCCCAGGCCGGGGATCGAGTGCATGAAGTGATTGCAGCTAGCTACGTAATGCTGTGCTTTAACCTGCTGTGCCATCAGGGAGGGCACTCACATATGATTTTTAAGGAAGTTAAAACTTAATAACAAACACAAGTTTAGAGTGTTATGCATAAGACCCAGAACAGCAATCTGAGCCATTCCCTCAACTTCTTAAACTTGAGTTTTTTCCACTGTTATGTGAAATATAGGATTAATTTGTGAAACACATTCTAATTTTATAAACTGAAACACATAAAATAATACTGTAGGAAAGAACCTTTTTATTTAAAGAAAAAAACATTTGAGAATGTCATGTCTACATTTTAAGTGATGCCTATGTATTTTATACAGGTATTGGGAAACAAGAGAACAGCGGACCCCCACCTTGAAAGGAAAGCTTGTTCAGAAGGCAGATCAGGAGCAGCAGGACCCTCTGGAATACCTTCAGTCTGACGAGGAGGATGACGAAAAGAGTGGTGCCCAGCGCCGGCTGCAGGAGCAGCGAGAGCGCCTGCATGGAGCCCTCGCGCTCATGGAGCTTGCCAACCTGGCAGGAGCGACGCTCCGCCAGTAGCCTGAACACTGACTCTTCCACTGTACAGAAGTACTGCCCAGCATACTTATAAAGTAGGCCCTTGGGCATAAGCTAAGCACCTTATTTGCTTGTCATAGGCTGCTATTCTGTAGAAAATTTATGAAGAATGTCATTGCCCCAGAATATGGGGTGAGAGAGAATTGCACTTTTTTATATGGTAATAGATTTGTTGTAAAGTTTAAAATATTTTGTAAATATGGGACTGCTAGTACAGGGTAGTACTACATATTGTGGGAAGCTAGATTTTGCAAGTTTAATGCATTCATTGGAAGCAGTTCTCACGGGAAGCACTTTCTGAATAAGACACTTGTGTGGAAAAACAGGATGGTACCTTTAGCCAAAGAAGGTTGAAACAGATTATTTATAAGATCGTTTTTAAACAATGTATATTAGTATAATAAACAATACTGTAAACACTGAAGCAGATAAGAAAGTATAAGATATGTAAGATATATATTTTTAAATTACAAAATGGTGTGCCTAATATGACTAGAGAAATGGAAAACTGTCTTGGAAGATGTAAGTTATGGACTTTGGAAGAAATTAGATACTTGAGGGTTTTGATAAGATGCTAATAGTTTAACATTTTAAAAATTGGAGTAAAATCAGTCTTATTCTGTCTTTCTGAGGCTTTATAACACATGATGTTAAGGTTTGAAAAGCATTTCTCATTTCCTAACATGTTAACTTGGGAACTTTTGCACATTTCGTATTTCTCATTTGCTGAAGTTGAGTGATTAATCTTGCAAAGTCTAGGTAACTTGGTAATTGGTATTTTGTTTTTAGTATTATGAGCCCTGTAATAAGATTTGGCACTTGGTTGTTTTAATAAAAGGACAGCTACAGGGTTGTTTCATAGTGAACTATTTTAGATCTATTGTTAGCAAACACTAAATTTTAATTGTACTGCTTGTTTAGAATTGTTAGAAAATTGAAGCCTCCTATTTATATTTTCAGTGCATAAAGCCACCTTGTTTTACTTCAGAATAACATGCTAAGCTATTTTGTGTTCACTAAGTTTAGCTATCAGTTAAACACTGCAGAAAATGTTAGCTACTCAAACAAGTAGGCTTCTGGAATAGTTTTAACTGCAAGTGTGTTAACTTGTCTGGTGGTTTTAAACCATTTTTCCAAATAGATGAAGTGTTTAAATCCCACTTTATGTACTGAAGCATGAATAGAAAAATCACGAGCTAAGCAGTTCACTTCCTCTATATAGGCATAAACATCCATCAGTTTAACATTTTTGTTTTACAAACTGAGTAACGTGTAACGTGGTAATTTTGTAGATTGCTTAATTGAAGTAAATCTCAGAACAACAGAGGGAAATATAGGCTCTTCAGCACCTTTTCCCACCTTTTTGAATTAACTAGTATCTACAGATGTAGTTTAAACATTACCTAAAATATAGGCTTCTTTATCCAAAAAAATCCCAATGTGTTGCAGTACATAAGTATTTTAAAATATGTAGCCATGGGAGCAAAAGTGTGAAAGATGACAGTAATAAATAATGTGTATGATGAGGACATACTTTAAAAATGTAATTCCTCTGTATAGTAAATTACAAATCTTGAGGGGATTTTTTTTTTTGTAAACAAAGTTTATATTTGTAATGGTCTTAAGAATTTTGTTTGTAATCTGGTATATAGAATTTTAACCTGAAGCACTTAATAAGCACAGTAAGAGAGACTACAGCATCTGATTGACTTGCTCTATGTGTCAACTTGTTTTCCTAGAATTTTTCCTCTCAAATATGATTTAAATGAAGTAAAAAGCAATACTCATCAGTCTTGGGAAATTTAAACTTTGATGAATTTACCTGAAGAAAGAAGGGCAGTAAGGATATAAAAAAATACAAATACAGCTCATAGACAGTAAAATTTAAGGCCTTCAAAAGTGAGGGATCTTGTTTCTCCAGTCAGCTTTTGTTAGCTGTAAAATTATATTCAAAACATTTTTTTATTTGTATGATTGGAAGTCTAATGAATTACTACTACAGCTATTTACTATAGAAATATTTAAAATATTATTTTGATATAAGCTATATCTTGAACAAAATACATTGGCATCTAAAATTTGAAGTGTGTTAAGACTGCTTTTTGTTTTAAAAATGTGGTTTACATTCAAATTTTTGAAGTGTTTTATGCTTCATATGGCTAAGGTGTAGTTTGGCAGCATTAACAGCATAGAAATAAACATGCTGTAATTTTAAAAGATGCTTTGAATAAAAATTTATTTTCCTTTACAGTTTAAAGTACATGCTTATTCTTTCACCTTTGTAAATTGATTTTCTATTAAAATATAACCATGATATAAAAAATTAAGAAGATAGCAATGTTGCCCATATTCTTCAACCATTATTTTGGTGCATTTCATTATTTTGGTGCATTTTATGTTTCATTCCAGTCTCATATCAAGCTCCCTTCTTTTGTACAGTTGGAACCAGAATGTGAATTCCTTTTTCTTAAAAATTATGCCCTTTTAGATTATAGATATTCATTTTACTTTTTATCTGGTTCATTGTTGCAGAGTGAAAAATGCACTGGTATAACTATTAAACGATTGCCTTTCTTATGCCAGGCCTTAGGGTAATCACGGAAAGGATTTCATCCCACTTGAATACATTCAGAATGTGTTGAATCTCGGTCACCTCCCAAGAATTCACTCAGGGCCTGTTCACTTTTATGAGTTGAACAAACTGGTCTAATTTTTTCTTAAGTTTGGTTGATGTTTCATTGTATACTTGCAATATCAAGAATTTTGCAAGCAATTCTTTAGTGTGAGTTCTGATTTAAACAGAGCTTGAGATTTTGACAACACTTAAGGAAGTAAATACATAGCAAATGCAGATTTGGTTAAGGCTGTCATTAAAACTGACTTCAAAATACTGTTTTATGGTCAAAATACTGTTTTATGGTTTGGGGGCTTATTAGAAAAATACCTTTTAAATTACCAAAATGATTTCAAGTTAAGATTTTTTGGTTCAACCTAACTGAATTCATTTTTTTACTTTAAAATGTGTGGGGTTTTTTGGGGGGAGGGGGAATGTGAACGCTAGTATTTAGTGTTAATTATGTGTCCAAGTTCTTAAGTTTTTAATCAGTGCTGAAATGTTCTTGTTTTTTCAGTGCCTACAGTAGAAAAAACAGCTGTATGGTATGATTAAATCCAAACATCTATTTAACTTGAAACCTCCAGCTTTTCTAAAAGCTAAAATTTCAGACACTTAAAGTTTATTATTTAGAATAAAATATCAGACACTTGAAAAAACAAGCAGAGAGGCTCAGGTAACAGCAGGCAGTTTTGGGCTGCTTCCCTTCAATTAAAGTGAACAACAGGCAGGCTTACTATCCACCTAGAGAAAAAATCGGCCCTCAGGTTAGGAGGGAACCTGCCATAAGGCTAGAAAAGCCTTGAGACTGCACCTGTCTTACCTCTAGCCTCTTCGCTCCTAGGTGTCAAGGAAGAGAAGTAAAAGCATGAAATCACACAAGAACTTGTACAGGAACATTCCAGGTGCACTTTTTTTTTTTAACAGTCCTAAAGTAGAAGCAATCAACATTCCGTCAGCTGGTGAATGGAGAAACACATTACGGTACTAGTCAACAATTAAATAGGTGAGTCACAAAAATGAACAGTGAAAAAAGCCTTACGTAAAACACATAAAAAGGCAAATCTAGTTCATAGTAACAAATCAGAATTAGATGGCACTGTGGAACTTGATCTCCACCAGGCACAATGGGCAATTTCGGGGGTAAAGGTAATGTTACAATGTTTGGAGCTGTTGTGTTTGTCAAAGCATTGAACTGTGGACTCATAGCTCTGTCTTGTATTCTGTACGTTAAAAACCACCACCACCACTGGATAGCAGGGGGTAAAAGAGCCTAACAAACCCCAGGAGTTAACAGAAGTGTTTCTCTCCTAAAGCTCATTCATGAGGTCAGGCTTTTTCTACTTCCAGCCCAGTTCCTCTGTTCCCTTTAGGGTCAGAAGGAGGTGCTAGGATCTGTGATATTCCCGAGAACGCACTTCAGTCGCACCGGATGCTCCGCGCTCGCAGCTTTGGGGCGCTCGGAGGGCTAGGGTGGGGTGCCAGCGGACAGGTGGGGTACGCGCCAGGGCTCTTCCTGTTTCGGCCGCGCCCTCCTCCGCGCGATTAGGGGCGGGGACTGATCCTGGCTAGGCTGGGCTGGGCCGGAGAGAGGCTGCGGCAGCCGGCGGGACATGACTGCAGGTTGCCAGGCCGAGAGCTCCGGAGTCCCCGCCTCTGGCGGGGTCCCCGTCTCCGCCAGACTGCCCGCGGCCCAACTGCTGTCGGCGTTCTTCTACGGGACCTGCTCCTTCCTCCTCGTGTTGGTCAACAAGACGCTGCTGACCACCTACGGGTGAGCCGGCTGCCGGGGTGGTGCGGGCGGGGGCGGTGGGGAGCGCCGTCGCTCCGCAGCGACCTGTCCCGCACCTTCCGGCTCCAGGCCTTGAGCGAGTCCCGGCTGGCCCGACCGACCCCCAAGGCCCGAGCTGGGCCTCCGCAGAGCTGCCACAGCCCTCTGCGCACTTGGGCCGCGCAGGGGTCAACCGGCTGACGGGGACCTGGGGACGCCTGGGTCCACGTGGATGGCCGAGTGCCACATTGACTAACATTGCAAAAGGCCGGAATCTTCACTGGGTTCTAAAAACCCAATCACAGTCTAACAAAGTCATTCTACTTTGCGAGAAAGCTGGCACACCTCAGCCCTACTTAAAACGGCAGGATGCCCGCCTGGCTGTACTTGCAGAGCTGCATCCCCATGTCTGCAACCACATTGACTCCAACGATAACCTGATCTTTATAAACCATTCTACGTGTTTGACAGTCAGTTGAGTCCTGAGCATGTACGTTTACTCTGTGGTTTCATTCAAAAATTAGTAGGTTCATGGATAACTGAAGAAAACAAATTCGAATGAGTGCGTGGTAACCCAGCAAGAATGTGGCTCCTTGACCTATCCCAAGGGCTAGAAAACCCTGTTTAATTTTGCTTTCCTTGTAGCCTCATCGAAAGTGCTGTGGATTTAGACCCATTTCCACCAGTTCATCCTCTAGATCTCTTGAGCCAGTCTCAGAGTCAGCAGTTTTCTCAGATGCAGAGTTGGATAATTATAACTCTGTTAATTACCTCCCGGAGCTTTTCTCTAGCCTTCATAAATGAGCCTCTTAGTGAAGTTTACTGAATGTAAAAATAAGAATTTTGTAATGACCCCTATGAGATCTCAGATTATTTCCAGGCTTCTTACTTTATACTTGAGAAATTAGCTCTACCTCCAATATTTACTGAGCACCTACTATGCACCAAGCCCATGACAGACATGAGAGGAGAGGCTGTGAACTACACAAAGGCTCTGAGCCAGTGATTCCATATCAGTGTTACAGATAGAAAATATACAAGTGGTTTCCTGAATAAGCACGGTGATTGCAGGTCTATTGTGAGAGTACCTGGGTGTGGAACAGTTGGTGCTAGAGTATTCCAGGTAAAAGGGAATGTACTGAGAAGGGCATGAGCTTGGACTGCTGGAGGAACAGAGAGAAATTTACAGTGGCTGAAACTTAATGAGCAAATGAAAGAAGTTAAGTGTTGGGGGAGGGGATATAGGCATGGGAGACAGGATCAGGTCCTTCACTTAATAATAAAGCATCAGTTATCTGCCAGGTACTATCTCATGGTAGACAGATCAACACCCCAAACCTCATTACACTCATTCTTCTGGAGCTTGCATGGAGTTTTCTGCTGGATCAGTAATAAAGCAGAAGAATATGTTTTATGTCAGATTCAACTATGGGGTCAGGAGGAAAAGGGCAGGAAGAAAGTGTCATTGTGGTAAACTGCAAAATTGGTAAATTCCAATGTGATCATTGAAGTCTCACTTTGGAGGTGACTTTTGAGTGATGTGAGGGAAATGAAGGGAAAACATGCCAGGCATGAATGAGTGAAGTGTTTGGGTGGGAATGGCATTATGTGAGGCCACAATATTGCTATATTATATAGGACCCTTCTAGCCAACTGGTGGGTTAGAGGGCTGAAGGAGATGAGAGTCACTGGAAGGCAAGAAGCAGAGGAGTGACATCGTCTTAATCACCATGGTTTGAGAGCAGACATTAGTGGACTAGGGTCAAAACAGAGAGACCATGATAGTTTAAATGTTAGCCCATATGCAAGGCTTCCCTTGGAAGGATTTAGCAGAGGGAGTCATGTGCCATCATTTGTGCCACTAGAAAGATTTTGTTGGCTGGTAAGTGGGTGGAAAACTGATGGTAATGGAAGCAGGGACAGAGGTAGCGAACAGTTACAGTATTCTATGTAATTCTAGATGGTTTGGCCTGAGCTAAAGGGGTTGTAGCAGACATGGAGGGCAGGGGTGAATATTGGATATTTTTTTGGTGATACTGTGACTATTGATATTCTTTAAGAGGTTTTTACCAATGTATAGCAGTGTGTTTGCTGATGTCTATGGGAAACACAAAATCTTTCTTAAGGAAACGATAATGAACATATATCAACCAGATCATTTAGCACATACAATGCAAGCTAATGGAAGAAAAAGAAAATTCAAATAATTACAAAATAAACCAAAAATAAGTGAATGCCATTAATGGCTTTGTTTGGGAGTGTGTAACCATTATGGCAAATGAAGTTTGAAGAGAAGTCTCTGCTTTCTGCACATGAGTGAGTGCTGTGTGCAATGGCCATGGCAATCTATCACCAAAAACATACGTCCTCTTCTTGGAAACAGGTTCCAGAAACACTGGTTATGTAGTAGGTGGGTGGAGGGCAGTGTCCAATAAGGAAGAATTATTATAACAGGACATGTCCTAGCCAATCCATCTTTAAAATTTTGAGTTCCATGATTAAAGAGCAAATCAAGTTTTTGCCTCAGAAAGATCTTTACAATCCTTTAAGTAAACACTTCACATTTCTGTAATGTAATATTTTATTCAGCTGGAGAACCTGTTCAAATAACATTGCTTATTTTCTCATCTCCAAATACTGTAAAAGCACATTTTTGAGGGAGGGAGCTTGGGGTGATTTGGTTACAAAAATAAACCACAGAAATCTGATCCAGCATTAGTTATTTGAGGATGACATGTTGTGTTGTAGGAAGAAGGAAGGGCTTTCCCCTGATTACCTAATTCACAGAATCTTGGAAATGTAACTCCGGGTTGTTTTTTGCTCTTCCATTTTGAGCAGATTGTTTTCTTGTTGGGGTACAAGACTGATGAATGATCTTAGTTATTTGTTAGTTTTAATTCATTGTAATGCTAGATTTACCTGGATTGGCAAAGAGATCTTTGAAGGTCTTGTGGTGTGAGGGAAAAAGCAAATTGGTAAACATTGCTTCTTTATCAATTGGTTTCTGGTGAGTTCTTCAGGTTGAGATTCATGAGGGCTGTCTTGAGTTTGCTTTTGTGGCCATTTTGATGCCATTCTGTGTCATACACGAATTTACTAGTGATCCTTAATAAAACATAGAACTTAGTTATTTTCGTTCGACATGTGTTGTCAGTATTTGCTGTGGGAGTCTACTTTTTTATGCTCCCCAAGGCTTTGATACAGTGATTTCCAATCTGCCTGGTAGAGTGAATCACTTGAAGAGGTTTAGCATGATTCAGTCAGTTTCCAGTCATGGAGGCTGGAACTTTAAAAAAAAAAAAAACAACTCCTGGTTTTTCTGCTCACTCCTGCTCACTCCTGAGGACACCTCTCCCCCTGATCACTTGGATGGAACTTGGGTTGTAGCTTCATCCTGCCCTGGTGAGACTAGGTGGTGGCTTGAGTCCTCCTGGCATCAAATACCCGTGCTCCCTCAGACTCTGGACTTAACCCTTCCCTTTCTGGCTCCCTGGAGGTGCTCACGAGTGACTGTGCTCCTTCCCCACCAGGACTCCCCTGAGCACCTGGGGACATTATGGTCTCTCTCTTTGGACTCAGCTCAGCCCTGCCTCTGGTGGTCACTGCTCCTTTCTCCACTCTGACCAGGGGCTGTTCATGCCTTGAGCCATTTTTGGTTTATTTTGTTCCATGTCTGCCCTCAGGACATCCCTTCCCTCCTGGACCAGGGAACATACACTGACCCTTTACCTCTCCTACCTTGGCTGACACTCACCGGACATGGCCCACCATCCATCTTTGTCCTTCCTTTAGCGCATGAGCTGCCCTTGTGGGAGAAAAACCACTTCTGAGCAGTCAGGGTTGACTTTACAATTGATGACTATAGGCCTCAGTTGGCAACTCTGACTACCTGCTAGTTTCTTCTGGGGCTTGCTTCTTTGGTCTCAGAATTGACTTATACTTTCATCTAAACCCCTCCCCCCCAACCTCTTCTCTTATAATTAAGAAAATAGAAATTGTCCAATTGTAACAGGGTAGGTAGTCCCTATAGAAAGGGGAGGTTCCAGATTCACTGGAAGGGTGGAACTGAGCATGGAGGGGAAGCTAGGAAGGATTTGGGGAGAACAAAAAAAGAGGGGGATGGCCCTCCCTGGTGGCGTAGCAAGTTAAAGCACAGCACTGAGAAACTAAAGCCACTGCAGCATGAGTTCGATCCCCGCCTGCCCCAGAGGTGACCACATGGTGCGGCAGGCCTCTCCTGGCCCGCCCGCTGCTCCCCTCAGCAGTGTACTTCATTGATCAGCCTGTTCTGCTCCCCACTCTGTCTCTGGTGAAGCCTCTCACCGCCCCTGAGCCTCTGGCCTGTACCCCAGTTCTGTATGTACAAATAAATAAAATCTTAAAAAAAAAAAAAAGAGGACTAGGAGAAGACTGGAAGCTGCAGGAAGAGCAGAGAGACAGGTAAAGAGGCTGTGCTTGTTCTCAGCCTTGGACTTTCCCTAGTGACTTGGAGGACACGGAAGGAGACACTTGAAAGAGACTTAGGTGGGAGACCTGTGGGAACGCTGACAATGGCTGCCTTTACCTTGACTTTAGCTTCACTTTTGCTTTTTTCCTTCCATACTTGCTTGGTCCCTGCTTTCCCTGGGTTCCCACCTCCCACCTGAAGGTGACTTAGGTTTGTGATAAGCTTCTGGGCCTCAGTGGTTCTGTTTTGAGCCAACCCTGTTTGGCTGGGCATCTACCAATGAGGGGATGGGTAATTTTGGGTGTTTCATGGATAAACTATTTTAACTATATTCTTTTCTCTCTGTTGCACACAAATTATATTAAAATTCTTTTCTATAGACTTTATGCACTCAGAGTACGTTTGTTTTTGTGCAGTGAATGGCAGAACCCATTTAGAGCAAGCAGGTTTAGGGGTTCGGGAGTATTCTGCATTCTGCCCACTAACAAAATAAGGCCCCTCTGTATCCTGCTAACTAGGCGATACTGCTTTGTTCACCCCAATAACCAGGGCTCTGCTTCTGTGTCCACTGTCCTCCATTCTTCACTCCATTCTTTCTCTGTCACCTTAAAAACAAATTTGGGTGTCTCAGGCAAAACTAACTCTCCCTTGACCCTACCTGGACCCTCATTTCCCTGTTCCTTTCAGAGTTGGGTGCATATACTTTCTATACTTCTTGGCTCCTGTTGTATAAAAAAGTTAGAAGTTATTTAAATATACAAGTGTACAAAGACAACTACAATAATTATCTGCCCACTACCTAGACACAGTATCTTGAAATATATATATATATTTATATTAAAGAATAATCATTATATTGTGATCTTTATGAGGAATTCACACAAAAACTATTCTTAGGTTAAATGCTTTAAATTACTATAATTAATATTAGGCGATAATTGCAAGCATCTTTTTAGAATGATGGATATATTGGATATATATATTTTATTGCCTCATGTATTGATGGGTTCATATTATATCTGCTAATTACTTACTCATTTATTCGAAAAACAAGTGGTGAAGACTTTTGTTTAATTATTTCTTTTTGAGGCTCATCTAGGTCCCTCTACAACTTTTTATTATGAAAAGCTTCAAGCATATAGAAAAATAGAAAACAAAGTATAAGGAATACTTGTACTAAGTTGTAACCCTACAACTAAGTTGTAGTAGCTAGTATTTTTCTATTTTTGTCCTTCCCCCACCACTGGAAATCAGTTGCAGATGTGCTACTGCTTTCTGAAATATGTCAACATGCTCCCCCAAAATAGGGATATAACACAATATACTGTCAACTAAAAGAACTGTTACCTTTCAAAGAGATTTCCTCACTACAAGAGTTTAAAAATCCCTCTTAAGATTAAGAGATCACAAAAAACATTAAGAAGTTGAACTTGCTCAGTTTATTTTGTGAACATCCTTCAACTGTTGATAGCAAGTGATCTTCCTGCTCTTAAAGTTGAGGAGTCTTGCATACTTCTCCCTCTTCCCTCCCCGGCATATCTTCTTTTAGAATGCAGCATACAGTTGTGTAATTATAATTAAATTGTTGCTTGAACCTGCTCTGTGTTTAAATGCATACAGTAATCAGCAACAGCCCTTTAACACAGGTCTCCATTCCTTCATTCATTAGTTGATTTGCCTCCTAATTGGTGTCTGAGTGGAATCCTAATCGGATTCTATTGTCAGGCAGTTTTTTATGGAGAGTTCACATCTGTGACTTTAGTCATGTTGAGATTTTTCTATTCAAGTGTGCGGATGTAAAGATTGTTTATTCCCCCCTGCCCCCCTTGTGTCAAGGAAACAAATTTGTCTTTTATTCTTTGGATCATTTCCTTTTCTCTTTATTGAGTTTGTCATAACAGGCACAGCAGTTAACTGTATGGTGCTGTTTGTCTGTAGTTTGTATATGTGTGTGTATATATATATATTTACATATATATATATCTTTTAGAATTTGTCCTTTTATTATGCATTCTCTGCAATTACTTGTAGTGTTGGTAATTCAGTTTTAGAAGTGGTCATTTAGTTCTGTGCTGTTTCTAAATCGGTCATAGGAGTTAAGTTGCTTGGTCCTTAGATCTGTATGTGTCCTTCTCATTCAACTCTTTTGTCATCTTGATTTTGAGCTCTTTTTTTATAGATGCCTTCTTCCTAAGGTGTTCTGTAGCTGAAAGCAATTATGATTATTTGTTTTATATTTTCTTCTAGGGTAGCTCTTTGTTACTTTCTTGTAAACTTTTATTTGTTCTAATACAATGCAGTTTGTTGATACTGTCTATTTATTTATTTCATCATTGGTTGTATTCTTTGGGAAGCAGACTGACATGTGGAGGAGGTATCTTGAGGAATGCTTTTAGGATCTGCTCTTGTCAGGGTGAAGTAGGCAGGGCTAGGCAAAGAGGAGCTGAGTTGTGCTGCAGTCAAACAAAGCCTGATCTAGGAGCTCTGGAGCTGAATAACTCCGCAGATATTCTGAACTGGGGGCAGTTATACCCCAGAAGAAACCAGTGATTAAATTGAAGCTGCTCTCAGGTGTCTTTTGGCAAGGTATCTTTCTCCTCAGGTAACTGAGGAATAAGACCACAGAGGGTAAGTGGGTGGTAAAACCTGGCTTCCATAGAGTTGATTTTATTCTCACACTGGTACCATCATTCTATTTTTCTCTCATAAGGTAGATTGATTCTTTATTCTTTTCTTACTCTATCTGAAATAGGTGTGTTTCCCTCTGACGTACACATTGAAGGCTGAGCATTTTTTTGTGATACCCCCTCCCTGTTTTTTAGTAGCCTGAGATTAGGCCTGGAGCCAGTGGGCAACAAGTAAGCCAGGTGAGGTGTAATGCCACATTGTGTGAGGTATGTGTGAGGTAGGGTCAGGAGTCTGTATCCAGACTACCCAGTGTCATTTGTTGACTCTGCTCCTTTTCCCCTCCCCTTCCCCACTGCTCTGTAGTGTATCTGTTGTTATACTCTCTTCCATGGTCCTGTTTGGACTATGGCTTTACAAAACCCACAGTGTCTCATTCATTATAGCTTTAAGTGAACCCAATAGTCATTCCTCCACTTTTGCTCTTCTTCAAGGTTATCTTGGGTAATTTTTGCTCTTTATTTTCCATTCAGTTTTATGATCAGTTTGTAAGTTCCTGTAAAATACTTGCTGGTATTTTTACAAGATTGCATTGAATTTATAGATCATTTTGAAGATAATGAACTACAATACTGAGCTTCTAATCCATCAATTTTATTTAGGATTCCTTTGATTTTTTCAGATATTTATTTCATTAAATTTGTTCCTGGGTATATTACTTAAAGAAAAAGAGTATAATGAATTGCTGTGTATACATTATCTGGTCTCAAGCCATACTGTTACTTCCCTCTAACTTTTTTTAATTTCTCCTCCACTCATTTCCACCATTTCCCCCTAGATAATATTGAAACAAACTAGTAATTATATCATATGCCCTTGGACCAATAGGTATGGGTTCTTGTCTTTTAAATAACAATATCCTAATAGTTTAATTTCTTAATATTATAAACTATGCACTTACTGTTAATTGATGTTTTTGTTGGTATTATAAATGATATCTTGAAAATCATTTAAAATAAGTAATATCTTTAAAGTGAATAAATCTTCACTTTATTTGCTTCTTGCTGGTATATAGATATGCAAATAATGTCTTTCATATATTCATCTTGTATCCAGTAAACTTGCTAGAGTTATGTATTAATTCTAATAATTTAACCCAGATAATTTTTGGCTCTTTTCATATGCCATCATGATTTCTATTGACATAAAGACAGTCTGCCTCAAGCAGTAGTATAAAATTTACTAAGTTTAGCAATAACCACTTTAAAAAATGAAAGGACATGAAAAATGAACAAAGTTGATATTGTTTTCATTGTCGAAGAGTGCCCAAGACTTTTAAATAACTTTTATCATTGTATAATATAGACTTTTTTTTCAAATTTTTCTCAATTGTTAAAATTGTTATTCTGTATTCTTTGTAGCTTCCCATCACCAATTTGTCTTGGAATTGGACAGGTAAGTGAAAAAAAAAATAAGGTAAGCTCTTGATAAACATCAGTATACATGAGAAAAATGTGCTTAAATACATAAGCCTTTGTTTAATACTTAGTCTACAAATTATTCTGCAGGCAGACACCAGAGTATCATGTATTTCTTTGTGAAACAAGGTGAAATAGTGAGACACACTTTATTTTATTCTATGATTTAGGGATAGTTACATTTATAGGGAAAAATGACTACTTATTTTAACTTTTCTCATTGAATTTAATTACTGTCAAGTAAGGGCCCAGTAGACTCTCAGCCTTCATTGGCTGCTGGGTAAAAGTTTGTGGGAGGGGGCAGGTGGACAACAGAGATCATCCTTCCCACCACCCCCACGTGTGCACTGGGTACTTGTTTTAAGTGATTGTGTGTGAGAGGAAAGGGTTGGGGAGATAGCACCTGTTATGCCCTTATAGAACTCCAGAAAGTTTTCAAGAGAAATAGGGAATTTTAACTTTTACATCAATTCTAATCTGTAAATGCTGGTGCTGGATTCAGATTTCTAAAAACCTCTCTGTGGGCCAAGCAAAGAATGTTTTCAGTTTGCTTCCTGCAGATTTGTTTTCAAGTATAAGGATGAGCTTGCCTGATAGCTATGTCAGATGAATTTCATTTGACTTCTATTCTGAAATTCCCCATTAATTTGCAGCTTGTTTATTATTCTGGTTATATGCTGGTGGTTTCCAGTAGATGAGTGGTAACAGGCACTGTTAGTTTAATTTATGGGGAGAAAATTTAAAATTAGGAAAATTAACAAAATTTTAAATTGTGCATCTTGAAAAAGCTGCCATTTATATGATTAAACATGATTCTTATTAAATGTTCTGCTAATAAAGAATTCTTAGCAATATCAATTTGGGGAGAAACAAGAAAAAGGAAACTTTATTTCCTTAAGGTCAAAAATTTATGATTTTTGTATGCTAGTGTGTGATACTATGTAGAAATATGTACTTTAAATGCTCAGAGAATATTTGATAATATATCCTTGGAAATCTGTCAGGCAAGTAAATGTACTGGTATGTATTCAGTAAAAGACCTTTTGAGGCCCTCCCTGGTGGCGCAGCGGGTTGAAGTGCAGCACTGAGAAGCTAACGCCACTTCCTCATGAGTTCGATCCCCGCCTGCCCTGGAGGTGACCACATGGCGAGGCAGACCTTTCCTGGCCCGCCCGCTGCTCCCCTCAGCAGTGTACTTCGTTGATCTGCCTGTTCTGCTCCCCGCTCTGTCTTTGGTGAGGCCTCTCACCGCCCTGAGACTCTGGCCTGTACCCCAGCTCTGTATGTACAAATAAATAAATATTTATAAAAAAAAGACCTTTTGATTGGTAATTTATTTGGAGTTAGGCTAGCAAAACCTAATTTTAAAAGTTTGAATTCAGAATATTTTAGGTAAGTGCTGGTACATTTCTGAAAGAAATACAATGTAAATCAAAATACAAACATTATAATCTGGGATGGACTCTAGTTATGTAAATCTATCCTAAATATTAAGTTTTTAAAATTATTAGAGTGAACATTTAGGATTATAATAATGTTGGAGTATTTTAATTTTTATATCTTAACATGGTGACAATTAAGTAAGTTCTAACATTTTTATTAGAAGATGATATTCAGAAGATGATAATCTGGAGTATTTTTAATATCCCTGCTTTGCTCCAGATTAATAGGATTTGAATGAGATATTTTTATAATACTGGCTAGCATGCAATAAATCCTTCTTAAGGTTTTTCTCTCAATTTATCTTCTGTGTTACAGAAATATTTTGCACTTTTCAAAAAGTATGTTTACATGTGGAATTTGTTCCCCTACCTCCACCCCCACACTCACTTTATGGGGTAAGGTAACCAGATGATTAGTATTGGGAAATACAGTTAGTGGTTTGCCTCAGTGACTGGACGGTCACTCTGGTTACTCTTGGGGACATTATTCTTTTTTTCTATGATTGTTCCTTCAGCCCCTTGAGATAATATATATGTGTATGAGTCTCTTATACCTATGGTTTTAGTAGAATATAATGGCAAGAAAATATGAATACTCTAAGAAATCATTTTTTAGACAAATGAATTTTGGGTATATACTTCCTTTTGATGGATCTGCTTTCTTTGAGTAATGTCTTTATACCTCAAGCTACCTTCCCAGATATTTTGCTGAAGTTTCTCTCTCTTCTTTAGATGGCAGCTACCATAATGATACTGTATGTGTCCAAGCTAAATAAAATAATTCAGTTCCCTGACTTTGATAAAGAAATTCCTGTAAAGGTAGGTCATGAAAGTACATGCAGTTGTGATGGAATATGAAAATGTTGAATATATGAATGTATGGAATATACTGCTTACTGTACTATGAAACTTCTGCCTCCTCTCCCTCTATCCTCACACTCAATGAAGATTTTATATCATTCTAAGCATTTTAAAATTGTGATCTATATATAGAGAAAATGTATAATACATGAATGTATACTTGAATAATCAACCTGTAACCATTACCTAGTTACAGGTAATAGCTGAGATGGAATTACAAAATCTCACTCATTATTCTGGTATTGTCTTAGAAATTTTCTTGACTTCCTTGTAACTTTTCTTAATTTGTATGTATCTGTGAGTTATATAATAGTTACTTTTGTCTATTTTTAAACTTCATGATAAGGGAATCAGATTCTTTTCATATTTTGCTTCTTTTACTTAGTATTATGGTGGTAAAAATTCTTCTGCATTGTATATAGCTGTATTATTTTCATTGTGTGAATATACTACAAATTATTTGTTTTACTTTGTATGAAATTTGGGTTATTTCTAATTTGGAGGCTACTAATATAAAAAAGTACCGCTTTGAACATATTTATACTGGGCTCTTAGGTAGGACTATCATAACAAAATAGACTGGGTTTCTTATAAAATAGAAGTTAACTTTTTCCCTGTTAGAGGCAAGAAATCCAAGATCGAGGTGTCAGTAGGCTGGGTTTATGTGTGCATGGCTTTTTCACTGTGGGAACACAGCTCTGGTATCTTTCTCTTCTTATAAAGACACTCGTCCTATTAAAATATGGTCCACTCTTTTATCATTTAGTCTTATTTACCTACTTTACTCCCTGTATCTAAATATAGCCCTACTAGGGACTAGGGCTTCAAAATAGGAATTTTGAGAGGGCACATCCAGTCCCAAACAACACAATGTGAATGCATTTCTTGGTGATAGGGGTGCAGCAGGAAGTGGAGCCTGTGGCTCTTAGGGCATGTTTATCTTGGACTTGAGTAGATTATATCAAGCTGTTTCTAAAGTGATTGTACCGGTTCACACACCTGACAAAACTACATAAAGTAACTGAAATGGAAAAATGCACAAAAATATGTAAAAATAAATTATTATAAAAAAAAACTGCATAAAGCGTCTCTGTGGCTCCACATTCTTGCCAATCCTTGGTGTTAAAGTCAATTTAAGCCTTACTAATTTGGGGGTTGTGTAATGACATCTTACAGCTTTAATTTGCATCTCTTTGGTTACTGATGAGATTCAGTATCTTTTCATGTTCTTTGTCCATTTGGATATCCCCTTTTGTGAAGTATCTCTTAAGACTTGCCCATATTTTTTCATTGACTTGATGTCTTTTTCTTACTAATTCATATAGGAGTTTAAAAAATATTAATGATAGTCCTCCTGTTAGTTAATACGGTATTATGAATGCATTTTCCCTCTCTGTCTGGTACCTTTTTCTTTTCTTTTTCATTGATGTACAAAGTCATGAGCCGCATAATAATGTTTTGGTCAGCAACAGCTATATACATGCGGCCCCTACAGATAATGGTGTATAATAGGCTGTGTCCTGTAGGTTTGTGTAATTACCTTCTGACATTCCTCCAATGATAAAGTCACTTAACAAATCATTTCTCAGAATGTAGCCCATCAGTAAGTGATACCTGTCCTTATCCTAAAAAGAAAATTTAATTGGAAATTAGTCAAACTTTTCAGACTTTTCCTTTTATAATTTTATAATTATCAATTATTATTATAAATTATTAATTTCCTCTTATAACTTTTCCTTTTATAATTATTGTTTTACCTTCTTAGAAAATCATTTTTTACTCTGCAGCCAGAATGTTATTTTTCTAGATGAGTTAGGTTCTTTAATCATTCTTAGATTTCAATTTGTGTATTGTGTGAGATAATGTTCTAATTTTATTTTCCCCCCAAATCAGCATAGTTGTCACAGACTCAACTGAAGAGTTTTATCATGGTTCTGTTCACAGATGCATGGGTCTGTTTCTGGGCTCTCCATGACTTTTCATTTGTCTAATAGTGTTTTCTGTACCTTTACCACCCAGTCTTAATTACTTAATGCTTTAGAAAAGTCTATCTAATAGAGCAAATCCTTCTTCCTAGCTCTTGGTTCCTTACATTCTTCTATGACTAGAAACACGTTTTTAAATTTCAGAAAAAATAATAATCTTTAAGGATCATTTGAGATTGCATTGAAGTTGTAAAGCAATTTGGGATGAATTGACATCTTTCAAGTATTTAATCTTTCAGTCCATAAGCCTGGTACATACACTCTTTCTTTAATTGTACTCAGTAAAGTTTTATAAGGTTTCTTTTTATAGTTCTAGCAGTTTTGTTTAGATTTATTCTGAGGTAACTTTTTTTGCTATTGTACTTATTTGAAAAATAATGTCCCTGTTTTATATTGTTTTTATATCTGCAAAAGTGTGGAATATTATTATATGGAGTGTGGAATATTATTGGTATATTATAATTTTTTTTTTAAAGATTTTATTTGTGCATACAGAACTGGGGTACAGGCCAGAGGCTCAGGGGCGGTGAGAGGCTTCACCAGAGACAGAGTGGGCAACAGAACAGGCAGATGGTCAAAGTACACTGCTGAGGGGAGCAGCGGGCGGGTCAGGAGAGGTCTGCCACACCATGTGGTCACCTCCGGGGCTGGCGGGAATTGAACTCATGCGGAAGCAGCTTTAGATTCTCAGTGCTGTGCTTTAACCTGCTGAGCCACCAGGGAGGGCCGGTATATTATAATTTTTAATTGGTAAATTATTGATATAAATTATATCATTATTGGTATAAATTATATCAATAATTAATCATTATATTTTGATTGTAGTTCCTTTTTGATTATCTATGTTCATAACTAGTTCATCTACAAAAATGACAGTTTTGTTTTGCCAACATTTTTCTATTTCTTTTTCTTGCTTACTGCATAGCATAGGACCTTCAGTTCAGTGTTGATTGAAATGGTGCAGGCTTAATGTCCTAGATATTTATGAACTGTTGTCTGTTAAAAAGTTCTTTGTTATCACATGACCTTTGATCTGAAAGAAACATTTAATATTTCCCCATTAAGTATGTTGTTTGCTGTGGATATTTTTGTAGATACTTTTCTTTTTTAAAGGTTTATTTATTTATGCATACAGAACTGGGGTACAGGCCAGAGGTGCAGGGACGGTGAGAGGATTCACCACACACAGAGCGGAGAGCAGAACAGAGCAGAACAGATGAAGTACACTGCTGAGGGGAGCAGGGGGCAGGTCAGAAGAGGTCGGCCACCCCATGTGGTCACCTCCGGTGATTGAACTCATGCGGCAGTGGCTTTAGCTTCTTAGTGCTGTGCTTTAACCCGCTGCGCCACCAGGGAGGGCCCTGTGGATCCTTTTTAATCCATATTCCAGGTAACTTTTGTTGCATAGCTTAGTGATTCAAAACAATAATCATTGTTATTTCTCAGAGGTGCTGTGGTTAAGGAATTTAGAGAGGTCAGCTGATTTAGGGCTCTCAGATAGTTTTTCCATGTCCTCACCAGCACTGTTGTTCCTTGTCTTTTTTTTTTTTTTTTAAGATTTATTTATTTATTCACATAGAACTGGGGTACAGGCCAGAGATGCAGAGGGTGAGAGGATTCACCAGAGACAGAGTGGGGAGCAGAACAGACAAATGAACGAAGTACACTGTTGAGGGGAGCAGCGGGGCGGGTCAGGAGAGGTCTGCCTCACCATGTGGACTCCTCCCCGGGGCAGGCAGGAACCCAGCTCATGCGGAAGTGGCTTAAGCTTCCTAGTGCAGTGCTTTAACCCGCTGTGCCACCAGAGAGGGCCTGAGACATATTCTTGTTTGTAGAGTTCCAGTTTGGCAAAATGTTGAAGATGCACTTTTGTTGTTCTCTGGGATTTTGTTCTTACTTCAGGTTTAGTCTGGGTATTTTTCACTATTTTCTCATTTCTTTCATGCTTTGATGCTATAAGTTATTTTACCTAGCACTTTAAATTGTTTTCCACAGAGAGATTAGGGCAAATAATCTAGTGTACTGTTACTGAAAACCACAAGATAGAGGACAGCTTTTTACAGTACACCATAACTTGCTTTTATTTTGAACTATACATGGAACAGCTGATTCTTTTCAACGCCTTAGAATCCTGAAAGTTGTAATTTCACCCACAGTATTATTGTTGAATCAGGTGTAGGTTGTTAATCTGAGTGTTGATAATAAAGAGGAAGATCCTGAATCTCTTGGCCTCTCATATATGTGTGTGTGTGTGTGTGTGTGTATGTGTGTGTATTTTTTATAGTAAATATCCAGATAATAAAGTTGTGTAACTTTTTTTTCTTGTACACGACATTGAATATTTCAAAATCCTTTAAGTAATCTTAGTTGCATGCTTAATTTCCTTGATATCTATGGTCTGTTATATTGGTTAAAAAGTTCTTAGTATAGGGCCCTCCCTGGTCGCCCAGCAGGTTAGAGCACAGAACTAGAAGGCTTGGGCCACTTCTTCATGAGTTCGATTCCCGCCTGCCCTGGAGGAGATCCACATGGTGTGGCAGACCTCTCCTGACCTGCCCGCTGTGACCCGCCCGCTGCTCCCCTCAGCAGTGTACTTCCTCGATCTGCCTGTTCTGCTCCCCACTCTGTCTCTGGTGAATCCTCTCGCCGTCTACATCTCTGGCCTGTACCCCAGTTTTGTATGAATAAATAAATCTTAAAAAAAATGTTCTTAGTATATACATATATATTATCATAACATATAATAATATATATTATTTCCTTGTGAAACAATATATATTTTTACTTATGGAAAACCAGATCTTACATTTTCTCTGTGTGTTCTGAATAATATTTCTGCTGACAATTAGAAAATAATTCAGGAGCCCAGAGCTTAATAAACCTAGTTCAAGTGCTTCTGGTACATTATTTGGCCTTGGCAGATATTTAATCATTTGGGACCTTTAAAACAAAGTAACTCCATTCCAAAAGATGTGCCACTGTTACAACAGTTTACTTGACATCAGCCTTGTGGCATGCCAGTGAGAGAAATATTTGTGTTTGTCTGCAAAGTGCACATGTTCATGTTAATGAAGTCTGCACACCTTTGCCAGTCTTCTGAGTCTCATGTGTAAACCATGAATATCCCTCCTCAACTGAACACCCCAGCCAGGGGTCTCCACTCAAGATAGGTGATTGTTCAGAACCTTGCTTAATCTACTAGTGTGGCTAAGGTCATCGCTTCCATTTCTATCCAGCTTCTCCTAGCCTATGATTATAAAAACTACTGCCCATCTGACTATTTTGATCATCTGGAGAAACTCATGGGTATATTTTGGATGCTGGAAATTTGTAGTCATTCCAGGGAAAGGAATTCAGAGTGATTTATTTACTGATGGGAAGACAAAGCATTTCATTTTATATAGGAAGGGAAGTCCATTATTGAAGTCCTAACCAAGTAATTCTACTTTATTTTCATTGTAGCTGTTTCCTCTGCCTCTCCTGTATGTTGGAAACCATATAAGTGGATTATCAAGCACAAGGAAATTAAGGTAGAGTGCACTGCAAAATAGGTATTACTTCCATTCACTGAAATAACTGTTTTGAATGTAGCAAGTAAGCTGTGTTTTTAGAAACATCTTTATTACTTCTTTATGTGCCCAACAGATGGGGTAACATTCAATCTTTTTTTTTTTTTTTTCCGGGGGGGGGGGGGGGGCGGTGTGTGTGTGTGTGAGTTGCCATGGGGACTTTCTAGGAAAAGAGAACCAGCAAATGAGATTACATGATCTAAGTGTGTCATATACTCTTCTCATATTTTCCATGAATTGATAGCTCTAATGTCTTGATCATATTCACTTTTTCATGCAAGATTTGTTGGTGATGTTTAGTTCATTCTACCTTATTGATGTTTTATCCTACTTTGATATTACATGGATCAATTTCACTTTTAAAAATTTCTAGTTTTGGGCCTCCGTAGGGGTTCAGTTTCAGTGCTATCATAGTGAAAGCTTGAGTTTGATCCCCTGTCAGGGAGCTGATGTACATGGCACAGCAGCCCCCTCCTGTCTTCCCACTTCCTGCACTTAGCAGTGTGTTTCAGTAAATTTACCTGCTTAGTTCTTCTATGTAAAAATAAATGAAACCTTAAAAAAAATCTAGTTTCTATGGAGGTTTGGCAGTAATAGTGATTGTGCAAATGGTAAAATTCTTTCTTATCTTTCAAAGTTTCTGTTCCACATGGAATCCTACATAGTCAAAAATTTTTTTTTCTAAAATCCAAATTTAACCCTGTCTTCAGTCCCTACCCCTAGTCCCTGCCAACTCCTTAAGCTGGCAACTTCAAATTTTGCTCATCACACTCCACGGTTGGATCACTGACTCTCCTATGTCTTTTTTTTTTTTTCTCAGTTTATTTTCACATCATTTTGTACATGTTTTTTTCCCATCTCAATTGTAATCCCTGCGGGTTTCCCATCACCAAGTCACCCGTGTGCCATCACTATCCTAATGTATTTTTTAAGAAAGAGAAAAGATATGGCTATATATTGGTATCAATAGAATCTAACTGGTGGGTAAAAAAATACATTTCTAGTTTCTTCTTTCTTTTTGGTTACTTTTCCCTTCTCTTTTTTCTCACCACTAAGCACTGTGCCTAGTTAATGTTGACTATCTTTGGTAAATATCAATTGATAGTTTTTTAATGTTAGTTTTTTCCCACCATCCCTGTAATTTTACCCTTTCTCTACCCCACCCTCCAATCTTAGAAATCTCACTTCACTTATTAGTATCTGTTCATTTTTATAAGCATTTTGATTTGTTGACATATCCATTATGCAAATATTCATATTTGTTTTTCTCATATTGATTTATTTTATGGCACAAACTCCTTCAAGTGTGCTACAAATGATAAATTCTTGTTTTCCCTTCTGTCTGACCAGTATGCCAGTGTGTGTATATGCTACATCTTCTTGACCCAGTGGGTATTTAGGTTGTCCTAACTGTTGTAAATAAAGCGGGGGTAAACATTGTAGAACTTATAATATTTTTGATCTGTGATTTCACATTCTTTGGATAGATACCTGAGAATGGGATTGTTGGGTTATATGATATACTTCCATTTTTTTTTTTTTAAGGTATATCTGATCACTTTCCAAAAATGACTGAGCCAGTTTACCCACCAACAATGCATTAGAGTTCTTCTCTCTTCTCATTCTCTCCAGCACTTCATGTTGGGAGTCTTCTAAATATATATTTTTTAAAGATTTATTTATTTATGCATACAGAACTGGGATACAGGCCAGAGGTACACAGGGTGATGAGAGGATTCACCAGACACAGAGTGGGGAGCAGAACAGGCAGAATGATGAAGTACACTGCTGAGGGGAGCTGTGGGCAACACAAGAGAGGTCTGCTGCACCATGTGGATAACTTCCCTGGCAGAGGATAGAACCTGAGAACCCGTGCTGAAGCGGCTGTGGCCAGCCTCGTAGTGCTGTGCTTTAACCTGTTGCAACATGAGGGAGAGCCCAAGTCTTCTAAATATTCTAAATATTCATGGGTATGAGATGATATCTCATTGTGTGTGTGTGTGTTTTTAAGATTTGTTTATTAAAAAAATGTGCAAAATGATGTAAAAATAAACTTTTGTAATAATAAAAAAAGAAAAAAAAAGATTTGTTTATTTGTGCATACAGAACTGGGGTACAGGCCAGTGGTATAGGGGCAGTGAGAGGTTTCACCAGAGAAAGAGTGGGGAGCAGAACAGGCAGATCATCCAAGTACATTGCTGAGGGAGCAACGGGCGGGTCAGGAGAGGTCTACCGAGCCATGTGGATCACCTCTGGGGCAGGCGGGGATCGAACTCAGAGGAAGTGGCTTTAGCTTCCTAGTGCTGTGCTTTAACCCACTGTGCCACCAGGGAGGGCCCTCATTGTGATTTTAACCTTATTTCTCTTATTAAAAGTAATGGTGAGTATTTTTCCTTCTATCTGTTGGCCTTCTAGATATTCTCTATGGTGACTTGTCTTTTCAGATCTGCTGCCCATTAATTAGGTTTGTGGTTTTTTTCATTGTTTAATTGAATGTTTTTTGTATATATAGTATATTAACCCCTTGCTGGTTATGTAATGTATGAATGCTTTATCCCATTTGGCAGGATGTCTTTTTAATGTTCCTGTATTTTCTTTCACTGTATAAACATTTTTAACTTAAGGTAAACCCAGTTATTTATTTTCAGTTTCCTTTCTCTTGCTGTAGGGATCAAGTCTTCAAAGACATCTTTTCACTGATGACATATTATACATATTATACATATTATGCATATTATACATATTGTTGTTGCTAATATATATATTATTGTTGTAGGTTTTAAGTCTAAGTCTTTAATCTGTTTTGAAATTATTTGTATGCATTGTATTAGAGAATTATCTAACATCATTCTTTTATATGTGACTGTCCAGTTTCCCCAGCACTGTTAAAGAGACACTTTTTATTCATTGTATGGCTGTAATTCCTTTATCATAAATTACTGACATATACATGGATTTAATTCTGGGCTTTTGGTTCTGTTCCATTGATTCATGTGCTCATTTTAATTCAGATGTCCTTTTAATTGCTATTATCTTATATAAACTCAGGTAACATGTATCAATATTCATTTGTAGTTTTAGTCTGTGACTTTTTTTTTAAGATTTATTTTATTTATGCATACAGAACTGGGGTACAGGCCAGAGGCTCAGGGGCGGCGAGAGGCTTCACCAGAGACAGAGTGGGGAGCAGAACAGGCAGATCGACGAAGTACACTGCTGAGGGGAGCAGCGGGTGGGTCAGGAGAGATCTGCCACACCATGTGGTCACTTCCGGGGCAGGCGGGAATCGAACGCATGCGAAGTGGCTTTAGTTTCTTAGTGCTGTGCTTTAACCCGCTGCGCCACCAGGGAGGGCCTGTGACTTTGGTTTTGTGATTAGAATAATGTTGGCATGGCCCACCCTTGTAGCGCAGCCGGTTAGGGCGCAGCACTGCAAACTAGCCACAGTCACTTCAGGTTTTGATCCCTGCCCGGGAGGTGATCCACATGACGCAGCTGACCTCTCCTGTCTCGCCTGCTGTTCCCCTCAGTGGGAGCAGCGGGATCTACTTGGCCTGGGATGGTTGCAGAACAATAGCAACCATCTACTGATGGTTGTGGAAAGATGTGAGAGCAAAAAGATAAGCTACAGACTGAAGACAATATTTACAAAGCACGTATCTGATGTTCTGCCTGTTCTGCTCCCCATTCTTGTCTCTGGCTAGGGCCAGTTGTGATTGCTGACACTTAGTTCCTCCTTAATATGTCAGAAGCTGTTTTGAACACATGGTGTATAGTCTTTAGTCTATTTAGCAAATTTCTAAAATTTGGATTATATGATGTTTTATATTGCTAACAAGTTAAAGTGGAATGAAATTATTAAATGTCCATTTCTTTTTATCAGTGTGATTTGTCTATTGTATACATGGGAATTAATTTAATTCTTTATATTTGATCTGGAAAGTTGGTAGGTTTAACGAAAAATGTAAAAACATGTTAAAACTTCTCAATATCTGACATTACTGTACTTGAATCTTTCCCTGACAGCTTGCCGATGTTTACAGTGCTCAGGAAATTTACCATTCCACTTACTTTACTCCTGGAAACCATCATACTTGGGTGATTCTCCTCCCCCCCCCATCCTATCCTATTCTCTCTCCTTTTTCTCCAATTCATTTTTATCTAGCAAGTTCTCAATACCTAGTCATCTTTCCTAATCATTGGTTTGAATTGCTAGTCACAGTAATTTTAAAGGACAGATGGTTTATTCACTTTAAAATAGTTCTTTGTTTCCATGATTCCCTATGAATTTAATGAGTATTTTTAATGGTAATTTTATATTAGACAAATAACACGTTTGTCTTAGAAAATTATTAAAAATCTAACAATGCCCACTTAGATGTAAATCCTATTTCCTGGAGTCAGAGGGAATATACACACATTATGGAGTACACAGGAGATATTGTCCACATAGAGAATGCAGAAGATCAGGGAAATCCATTCTGATGCAGTGATTATGATACAATATCAGAATAAATTAGTTTTTATAATGTCAGCTTAAAATTCTTGATTTTTTTGTGAAGATTACTTAGCAGTAGAATTTGGACAATGGCCCAGTGCTTGAAGTCCTAATGTTGAATTGTATCTTAATCTCTGGATGCTTGGTATAAGTTACCCACCAACTAGATCTGCTAGCAGGAACACGTCTGTATTTTGTTGCAGTGTTTCTGTAGTAAGAATAAAAATAAGCTTGTAATTAGATAAGGACAACTGTGTAAGAAATAAAGTAAATTTGGTCTGAATCACAAATTCATTTAGATACTTTTAGTGCTCCTGTGTAAACTTCTATTTATCTAGAATTTAATTTCATGTATCTATTACTTATTTTATTATCTATTTACTTTTTTGTTACAGGAAACAGTATTCCTTGAACATCATTGTCAGTGTGTTTGCTATCATTCTTGGTGCTTTCATCGCAGCTGGGTAAGATTTTGGACTGTTTCTGCTTAATAACTTCTTTGTGTCCTTGACAATAGGCCCAGCTCCATCTTCATTTTTCATTTTCCATCTGGCTGAAGTTGAATTGAGCAGCCAAGACACAATTATGTTGATGCTAGTGGAATTCCCATGTGTTCTGTGAAAACCAAACTGGGTTTCAAGTTGGCCAGAACGATTAAATAGAGCATAACATGATACAAATACATACCTACTTATATAAAAAAAAGATTAAATTGAACACCTGCCTTTAATATAAAACTTTTTACTTGAAAAGCTCTTAGGCTTTTGATCAGAAGAATAACAAATAAAGCCCTGGTACACCAACTTGTTTTTACCATACATGATGTTGGAGGAGTCAGTATTTCCCAGGTTAGAATACTCTCATTACGGTTTGGGATGTGCCAGTAATACCAGCGCATGACTAACTTATTCATTAACATGTAAGACTAGAATGGGGACTCCAAGTTTGCATTTAAAAGTGGACATTCCAGTGTTTGTAGCGTGGTGATTAAATCATGTGTGTGCAGTTAAATTCCCTAGGTTCAAAAGTTAGCTGTGCCCTTTGTCAGCTTTTTCTCAGCCTCTCTATGCCTTAGTTACTTTACCTGTAAAGCAAACTGATAATAGAAAAGAACACATACTTGGATGAATGGAAGAAAGAAAAGACTGGAGGAATTTCATTTAAACTGTTTAGCTCCTTTAATTCATTTATAATGTGGGTCCTGTATCAATTAAATTGAAAAAGGTATGGACTGGATGTTTGGAAATTTATCCTACTCTCCTCATCTACTAGCTGTATAACTTACCTTGGGCTCCAGTTATTTCAGCTGCAAAATGGAGATTAGACTAGCGTCTCTCTATTGTGAACATGAAGTGGGGTACCCATAAACCAGTGTTTCCACAAAATGCACAGCCAAATTCAACAGATACACGCTGAGTATTTACTCAGGCATTGTTCCTGGTGCTGAGGAATGCAGCAGGTAACAAAATAGACAAGAATCCTTGCTTTCATGTAGCTGGTAAAAACAATCAGCAAAAGATAGATTAGAAAATATAACGTGCTAGAGTGTAATAGATATTAACAATAAGCATAGTGTTTACTATTATTAGTATTTTTTTTTCTGTTGCCCAGAGGTGACATGTGTTATTTCCTCTTCCTCTCTTGTTTTTTTTTGGCAATGCAAGTCATGTGGAAAGTAAAGTTGAAATAGAATGTCTGTGAACAGCCAGAGTTCACCAGGAATTTGTTCTTGCTTATAAACCCAATTCATTCTTCTTAAACATTTTTGCTTTAACTACACTTAAACTAATGGGTACCTACCCTGCCCCTCCCTAGCAGGAGACCTGAGAACTGGGAATTTCCCTCAAGTGTTCCCTGGGAGTGAGCAACAGCTCTCTATCCCCCGGAAGCCCGACCTTGTTCATTCAACTCTGTCATTTTAGGGACCAGCAAATTTCTGAACAGCAAGCAATTTGGAAGACTCTTAATTTTGGATTTTATAGTTTTGGATGAGCCAGAGAATTCTTACTTATGAAGATTTAAAACTCACTTCATTGTACAAATAAATTTGTAGATAATGCCGGTGGCAGCCTAAAGCAAAGTCTGATTTAATTTGCATTCATATTTTGCTGCAATTTTTGCCTTTTTCCATCTCTTTATTTGAAATATTCTTCTTTTGACATTAAAGGGGCTCAGAATGTGACAACCTAAAATATACCACTTTGTGTGAAGCACTATGCCAGCATTAAGCTGAAGGTAGTTGAGCATCAGCAAATGTAGAAAGAGGTCTCTGCCCTTTCCTTCCTGCCAAGAAACTGACCATATATATCCCTTGGTGAACCTGATATTCCTTTTGTACCCCACTCCCATGAACAAACCTCACCATCCATTAGTTTCCCTAAGATGTTTTCAACTTCCTTACCTGTAATTTATTTGCCCCTCATAATGCACCCCTTTTCTTTGCTAAAATATTGTATAAGCCACAGACTCTAGTCACTTCCTTGAGTTTCACTTCTGTAAATTCTTGTGCTTGTAAAATATTTAGTATGGCCCTCCCTGGTGGTGCAGCAGGTTAAAGCACAGCACTAAGAAGCTAAAAAGCCGCTTCAGCATGAGTTCGATCTCCATCCCTGGAGGTGACCACATGTCGGGACAGACCTCTCTTGACCTGCCCGCTGCTCCCCTCGGCAGTATACTTTTTCAGTCGACCTCCCCACTCTGTCTCTGGTGAATCTTCTCACCACCCCTGCACCTCTGGCCTGTACTCCAGTTCTGTGTGCATAAATAAACAAATCTTTAAAAAATATATTTAGTATGATTTCTATTACTTTTCCCTCTGTTTATGCATTGTCAGTTGAGCTCACAGGCCCCCAGTTACTGAAGCATTATGGTAGTATCTGCGATATCAAGTGCAGGCAGACAAATTCTATTCTGACTCAGCTGTTGCTCTCTCTGCTGCTGGTACCTTATCCTGCCCCGCATCCAATATCGTTATGCCAGCATTACTTATTTAAATCTGAAATTAAGGAGAGGTGTTTCAAAAGAACTGGTAAAAGGGAGCCTTAGGAGGGGTTGTAGAAAGGGCAGGGGATGCTCCTTGCCTTTTTGATGGACAGGTAGTGAGGGCTTGCTGGGAGCCTCAGACACCAGATGGAAGTGTCAGTTCTTCTTTTGACCCCTGTTGCCCCAGTCACCGCCCAGCTGTCCCTACAGGGCTATACCCTGGGGATCGCCCTATTTATTCCAAGAAGCAAAGCCACTGGGTGGATCAGACAAATCACTCCCCTCAGAAAAGCTGAGTTCACCACTTATTATGCTGCTTTATTAGTTAGCAAGAAGAAAAGACTTTGTAGTTAAAGCAAGTCCCTCTGGTTTTAAGTCATTTGTGATGAAATCAAAGGCACCTGATGGCCTGGTTTTGTTTTTATCTGGAGCCAAAGCAGAGGAATTAACCATTTACTAGCACAGAGGGAAAATGTGTCAGTGAGAAGGTAGACTGGCAACACAAATGGATTCGATCAGGGAAAGATTGAACATTTGACTTGGAGGCCAAGTTGTGAGTTTCTGACTAACCATCCTCTTGTGTTCTTCCTACTAGTTCTGACCTTGCTTTCAACTTGGAAGGCTATGTTTTTGTATTTTTGAATGATATCTTCACAGCTGCGAATGGAGTTTATACAAAACAGAAAATGGACCCAAAGGTATGAGATCTTACTTCTCACTTTCTCATCTGGGCCCTGAAATGACATGAAGAAATTAAAACGAATTTGTAAAGTTGGCATATAATTTAGTTTACTTATAGGATCTACAAATTTCTAGTGTTTTTTCCAATTTCCTCACCTGTGTCTTGCAGTGTTTTGGGTGAAAGATAGGATAGGAAAAGAAGTTAGAATATATAAAAAGGGGATGATTCAGAAGATAAATTGAAATTACAAGTTTTTTTTTTTTTAAACTAGTCATCATCAGTGATGAAGGCAAAATCAGGGATTTGAGAGCAGCTCTGTTTTGACAGTCTGCAGACCTGGGATAAAAATCAAAGTTTGCTATTTACTGCACATTGTAACTTTGAATCTCGCCTTCTCCAAACCTCAGTTTCCTCATCTGGGGAATGAGATGATTGGAATGGGTAATTAGAAGGTCAGCCCAGCGTCACCTTTCTCCTGGTCTTGAAGGGCTGATGGGACGATGAGCTTTTCTTCTGAGTGGCTGCATCCGTTTGGAGGCCCCAGTCTGCACCCCATCCCAGCTGCTCCCTAAGCAGGAGGATGAGCCAGGCATATGTTTCTTTGTTCCTGGTTCTTTGTGTTGTGTGAGGGAGTTGTCTCTGACAGACAGGCTTATTTCTATGCGCTGTTTTTTCAATCTGCATTATTGCTTTTCTGTATGGCCATTTGTTTTTTCCTGGTAGCAGTTACAAAAACAGGTTGGTTGCCTTCTGAGAGTCACACTGTCACCCTTTATGAAAAATGGTAAAGAAGTGGCATAACCACTTGCATATAAAGTAAATTTATACAGGATTGGGAAAATGGGATACCTGATGTTTTAACCCTGCTGCTTTTTAATAGAAAGAGCAGATGTTCTTAACAAGTTCTGTTTCTATTAACATTTTTAATGTTCTTTATTCTGTTCCAGACTTCCCATTTGAATAGCATGCCTTAAAAAAGCCCAATTAGCATGTTAGAGATGAATGGAATCTCACAGGCAGCCCATCTCCATCTATTTTATCTGTCTTTTTGGGTTATAAAAAATTTTATTCTGAAATCACAGTATATTTGAAATGAAGCATTTTGTGCCAGAAATTTGCTGTAAATATCCCAGTACACACTTGGTCAGAAAGCATATTTTAGCTCTGCTTAAGTATATAGTTTTGGAAATGGCTCTAGAAAATCTGATGCTGCTTATTTCTCAAATTAAGTGGAGTTTTCTTTATCTTTGCAGGAGCTAGGGAAGTATGGAGTGCTTTTCTATAATGCCTGCTTCATGATCATCCCCACACTTATCATTAGTGTCTCCACTGGAGACTTCCAACAGGTGAGCTGGTGAGAGTCTTTACCTTCTTAGCAATCTTAAAAAAGAAGTTAATATTGAACCTTTGCTGCTTACTGAAATACAAATTGTGAAGATAGCAGGAAGGGTACATATAAGTAGGTTTATGAAAACTTTCACTTGTTCAGTATTATTTATTTTAGTTAATGGGGTGGAGGAAGAAGAATAGCAAGAAGTAGTAATAAGAAATCTGCTCTTGAAGCTTTTTGGAAAACAAAAACAAAAATCTGAGTTTAGGCCTTACTCGCTTCTTTTGCTGATGTAGAGATCTTGGGAAAGCTAATTAACTTAGAAAGTGATTTTGGAATTTTTAAAGACTGAATCTGCTTAATATCTTCATTGTGGACATTTTAAAACATACAAAAAAAAAAAAAGAGAGAGTGTAATTTAATGAATTTGCATGTACCCTGTACTCAGCTTCAACACTTTTTGGAATTTTGCAATTCTTAGTTTATTTGTTGTTATCTGCTTTCATTTTTTTGCATGCTGGAATACTTTTTAAAATTAAAGTATAAATAACATACATACAGCATTATTTTAAGTTCAGGTGTACAAGAAAATGAGTCAACTTTTGTATGTGGTATGAAATGTTCACCATAATATGTCAATTTATCCTCTTAACACCTTCAAAATTTACAATACCATATTGTTGAATATAGTCTCCATGTTGTACTTTACATCTCTTTGACTGCTTTTATAACTGGCAGTTTGTATTTATTGATCCCTTTCACCCACTTAACGTACCTGCTAGTCTCCCAGTCCTCTGTAACCTCCATCTATTTTATTCTCTATGATTTTGGTTTAGTTTAATTAGTTAATTTCATATGGATCACACATATGATGTATTTCTCTATGGTATTTCTCTCTGACTTATTTCATTTAGTATGTACTCTTCTAGTCCATCCATATTATCACAAATGCAAACTTTTAACTTTTTCATGGCTGAGTAGTATTTCTCTCTCTCTCTCTCTCTCTCTCTCTCTCTCTTTCTCTCTCTCTCTGTGTTATAGTCTTAACCAATCTAGTGGACAATTAGGCTGTTTTCCTATCTTGAACATTGTAAGTAATGCTTCAGTGAACATAAGGGACATCTATCTCTTCACATTAGTGTTGCTGGGAAATGCTAGATTCATTGCTGCTTGCCACAAGTGCCAAAGCCAAAATGCAAAGATCAAGAATTAAATCATTAATATGTGTTTTTATTAAGAGACTTGTCAGTAAAGTGCTAGAATGGCTGAGCATTATGCTCCAAAGAAACTGTTCTAACACCTCATCTCTAACTGGTTACCTTATAGTGAATTAAACAAAGACAATGATTATCAGTGAGTGGGTTTTCACTTCATGCGGTTAATGACTTCTAGAAGTTTTATGGTACCCTAATTCCTCAGCAGATCCCCCTGCAGTACAATCTGGATTTGGAACACCTCACTCCTTTGGGATGGCTCAGTCTTTGAAGAATCCCTTGCATGCATTTCTTGGGCTGGGAAGTGAACTCAGCGCGAACGGGTCACAGGTCAAGCAACTTGTGTAGGTGTATATTCATAAACACTGCTTGATGCCCTTCTCATCCCACTCTCTAACTCCTGTCATCAGTGCTTATGTTTTCTTTGGGTAGGAAATGTAAGTAGGATTGCTGGATCATATGGTAGTTGTATTTTAAATTTTTTTTAGGAATCTCCATACTGATTTCTATAGTACCAGCACCAGTTTATATCCCTACAAAGAGTGCACAAAGTTTCCCTTTTTCCATGTCCTCACCAGCACTGTTGTTTCTTGTCTTTTTTTTTTTTTAAAGATCTATTTATTCATACAGAACTGGGGTACAGGCCAGAGATGCGGAGGATGAGAGGATTCATCAGAGACAGAGTGGGGAGCAGAACAGGCAGATCGATGAAGTACACTGCTGAGGGGAGCAGCGGGCAGGTCAGGAGAGGTCTGCCTCGCCATGTGGTCACCTCCGGGGCAGGCGGGAATCGAACTCATGCGGAAGTGGCTTAAGCTTCTTAGTGCAGTGCTTTAACCCGCTGCGTCACCAGGGAGGGCCAGTTCCTTGTCTTTTTAATAATAACTATTTAATAATAACAAGAGTGAGGTGGTAATCTTGTTGTGGTTTTGGTTTGCATTTCCCTGATAAGCGATGGTGAGCTTCTGTTTACGACTGTTGGCTTTCTGCACGTCTTCTTTAGAAATGTTTGAATACTTTCTCTTCCCATTTTAAAATTGAATTTCTTTTATTTTTATTGAGTGGTGTGAGTTCCTTGTATATTTTGTACATAACCCTCAACAGATGTATGATTTGTAGATACTTTCTCTCATTTAACAAGTTGCTGTTTTGTTGATAGTTTCCTGGGTAGAGCTTTTTAGTGTGTTATAGTAACATTTATTTATTTTTGCTTTTCTTGCTCCTGACTTTGGGATGAAATCCAGAAAAACGTCACTGAACTTGTCATGGAACATAATACCTATGTTTGTTTTTTTTTTTTTTCTGGGAATTGGATAGGTTCAGGTCTTATATTCAGCTCCTTAATCCATTTTAAGTTAATTTTTGTGAATGGAGTAAAATAGAGGTCCAAATTCATTCTTTTGTATGTAATTGTCCAATACTGACAATACCATGAATTGAAGAAACTGTCTTTTCCCCATGTATTTTTCTTGCCTTCTTTGCTCTAAATTAATTGTCCATATTACATAGGTTTATTTACCAATTGATCTGTTTTTATGCTAATATTATACTGTTTTAATTACTATAGCTTTATCATATAGTTTAAAATCAGGGCACACAATACTTCTAGACCTTTGTTCCATTTTTTTTCAATATGGTTTTAGCTATTTGGGATATGTTATGGTTTCATAAAATTTTAGGATTGTTTCTTCTATTTCTGTGAAAAATGTCATTAGAATTTCAATATGGATTTCATTGAATCTATAGAGTATCCTAGATAATATGGGCATTTTCATAGTATCATTTCTTTCAATCCATGAAAGGGAGTATCTTTCCATTTCTTTGTACTCTTTAATTTCTTACATCAATGTCTTACAGTTACAAGTCTTTTACTAGCCTATTTAAGCAGTTTATTCCTAGGTATTTAATTCATTTTAATGTGATTGTCAATGGACTTGATTTCTTAATTTTTCATTCTGATAGATTGTTATTGGTATAGAAATGCAACACTTTTTTTTTTTAAAGATCTGTTTATTTATGCATACAGAACTGGGGTACAGGCCCGAGGAGCAGGGGTGGTGAGAGGATTCACCAGAGACAGAGCAGGGAGCAGAACAGGCAGATCAACAAAGCACACTGCTGAGTGGAGCAACAGGCGGGTCAGGAGAGGTCTGCCATGCCATATGGGATCCCCTCCAGGGTGGCTTAAGCTCTTGAGTGCTGTGCGCTACCAGGGAGGTCCCACAACACATTTTTAAATACTGATTGTGTATCCTGCAACTTTACTAAATTTGTATGTTAGTTCCAATGGTTTGGGAATGGAATCTTTAGGTTTTCTTTTTTAATTATAAAATTATGTCATACACAAAGAGTGTTTCATTTCTCCTTTTCCAGTAGGATACCATTTTTATATCTTTATATCTTTTTATATCTTATTGCTCTGATTTGGGCTTTCAGTACTATGTTGTTTAAAAGTAGCAAGAGTGGGTGGGCCTCTTGTCTTGTTGCTGATATTAGAGGAAAGGCATTTGTCTTTTCATTGTTGAGTGTAATGTTATTTAGGGACTTGTCATATAGAGGCTTTATTATGTTGAGTTGTGTTCACTCTTTATTCACTTTTGAGGCCCTTTATCATCAGTGGATGTTGATCTTCTCAAATGCTTTTTATGCCTCTACTGAGAGCATTTTGTGATTTCTATGCTTCATTTTGTTAATATTGTATAGCATGTTGGTTGTTTTAAGAATAATGAATCACTTTCTGAACAATATAGGGTCGTGGGGGAAGGGGCAGATAGTGCTATCTCTAGCAAGATAGGGAAGCATTTAAATGGAGCCCTCCAGCCCTCTAATAAGGAGAGTGTAAACCCCAAAGTGGTACCTACATGTACTTTCATCCCTGTCTCCTGGAAGATTGAGAATAACTAATGAATCTCTTTCATGTATGATTTAGATGCTTTTCAAGTTGTGACATTTTCTATGTCCTTTGTTGAGTGAATTTGCAAGTTTGTCTTTTTTTGTTTGTTTTAAAGATTTATTTATTCATACAGAACTGGGGTACAAGCCAGAGGTACTGGGCAATGAGAGGATTCACCAGAGACAGAGTGGGGAGCAGAACAGGCAGATTGATGAAGTACACTGCTGAGGGGAGCAGTGGGCGGGTCAGGAGAGGTCTGCCACGCCATGTGGTCACCTCCAGGGCGGGGGATCAAACTCTCACTGAAGCGGTTGTGGCCAACTTGCTGTGCTGAGTCCTAACCTGTTGTGCCACCAGGGAGGGCCACAAGCTTGTCTTTTAAAAGCAAACTTTGGACCACTTGGATTTCCTGGTTGCAAGCCCTGTGGGGGAACTAGTCTCTCCAATGTAGATCCCAAGGATTGGGAGACCTGATTTCCATATTTGTGAACTCTCTCCTAATTGTGTTGGGGGTGGAGTTTCTTAGTGAGACAGTGTCTCTGCTTCTCCTACCCATTTCACTGTGATCTTTTTGTCCCTTATGGTGGAGTTATCCAGTTCAATTTTCAGATATTTTTTTAGGAAGAATTGTTCCATAAATAAGTATGTATTTGCTGTGTCCATTGGAAGTGAACTTTGGCTCTTTCTATACTATCATCTTGAATTCCCTCCTTCTCTGGTGTATTTTAAAGTAAATCCCAGAATTCATGGCTTTCCTTCTAAGTATTTCAGGTTCTACACCTAAATTTTGAGAAGGTGGTGTTCTTTTGGTAATTATTCTGCTCACCCTACCTACTGCATTCTCATGAGTGAAAAAGTGATTATGTGAACAGAAAGAAACAAGGTCTGGCTAGAATGAGAGAAAGCCAT